ACATTATCGAGAAGCTCGCAACATCCGTCATGAGTCATCGCGTCGTCGGATGCCACTCTCTATCTCGGGGAACCGAACCTCCGAGTCAGCTATAATTACGAAGTTTAATTGACTAACGAGCGCAGACGGGGATCGGCGAAGCAGTGCAGAAATGGAGCCCTGATTGGTCCATTCATCGAGCCAGGCTTCGTTCATTCACGTTGCAATTAATTCGAAAGCGTCTAGCACCAGAGACTCTCCGACGTCGTCGATATAATGCTCCTCGACCCTGTAGAAATTCTCGGCCAGTATCGATATAGAGTTCGTATAGACGGTGTTTCTTGGATCGAAGCTCTACGAGTCGCTCGCCCGGAGACCTATGCAACGTCCACTCGCGAATAGAAGCATAAGCCGCGGATTTGCACCCCTATTTGCACTCGTCCCTATTGGCTTAATTAGGATCCGATTCGAGATCGGATTAACTCTTCCGCGGTTTAAATAACGTTTCTCGATGTTTGCGTTGAAACAAATCGAGCGCGACGCTCTTCCAGGATCAATTACTTACGCGAAAGGAAACGGACAAGTCATATATCACTTTACGTTCCAAGGCATACCTGGATACAAGCGATTAAACATCATCGATACGATAGTCTGCCATTTATATCACGGTCAACTGATCGCGACAGGTACGCAGTGCGTTTACACACTTTCATTGCTTTTAGTTTTTTAACGTCAACCCTACCGATCATTTGCACCTGCTTCTACCGCAATCAGACAAACGACTAGTCTTGGAGACACTTTTTTCAAATGCGAAAATATTTCACGTACCAAATTGTACTAAAATGAATACGAAACATTTGTATATAACTTATACATTCTATACAAAAACTGTATATAAATGTTTTGTAGACATTTCGGTTTAGCGTTAAAGAGCATCTTCCCTTGTTTTAATACAGATTTTATTCTATAAACCGCCCTCAACATTTGTATTTTTAAATGTCGTCCACTACGAAAAGATAAATTTAGCACCTGTCGGAGGAACGACCTACATTTTGCCTACTCGCGCATGCACGTTGCGAGCTAGCTTTTAATTGCGTCGAGGGATCGTCGAACGAACAGGTTGCCGAATTCGGGCGAATTTTCTCAGGCCGAGTCTACCCGTACGAGGCCACGGGGACACATGTGAAATCGGGATACGTCGCGGGGCCTGGGAACACGAAACACAGATCCGCCTTCGCATATGCCTGGACGCGCCCGCTCGCTCGCTCGCGCGTATGCGCGCCGCACACCGAATTAACGACGACCTAATTGACCGTCGCTAATTCCCTCGTCCTCGTCACTCCAACGCACCACGTTTTACGACGGACGTCGTTAACGCCGACAGCGTTTCTCAAACTTTCCTTTCGCCCAGTCATGACTGAAATTTACAGGTGGGAAACTTGGAAACAGACGTAAAGGATGCGCGCGCGAAAATTGATCGTGGATTGCAAAGGGTTTTCCAGTAGGAGTTCTAGGATTTTGTTAAACACAGAAAAATCGAAATCGATGCAGATACGAGCCTAAGGCTACGGTTACTATGGATGCGATCTCGGACGAAAAAATCAAACTTGTTTGAATCCTCAACTAGTTTTGACGCCGTCGTGAATGTTCTGACATGTTTATCGTTGCTAGTGTAAACACTCTCATTGAAAAAAAGGGGTTCGTTTGTTCGGACGAATTCGTCAGAACTCGTCCGAAAATATTTTCGTCCGAATTCGCATCCATAGTAACCGTAGCCTAAGAAGCTCAATTTCGCGCGAAACGTAGAAGTTCTACCTCGACACCATGAACGGCTCGGCTCGGTGGTCTCCTTTACGTTTATGCACCGTTACCGCTATGTTTTCGTTTTCTCCCGCAGTGACGATGGCGAGGTTACGTCGAAGAGAACCGAACAGAATTCTAACATAACAGTTTCGAGTAACGAAGAAAAACCGACTAGTTTAAAATTAAATTATTAGTATTAAATTTATCAAGTCGTTACGCGAACGAGCAATTGAAATAAAATTATAATCGATCACTGGCGCGTGAGAAACCCTGACGGCGATGGAGCAGTCGCGATGATTCATCCAGGACGCGATTATCGGCTCGTCAGAATTCGCGCGCTTCGAACAGCAGCGCTTCGACCAGTTTTGATTTCCTGTCGAAGCGGTAACAGGAAATTAACGACAAATCGAATACCGTAACGCGACCGAGCAACTGCCTGGCTTTCGGGCAGCTTTAAATCCGTTAGACAGTCGGGAAGCAATTATGGCCTGGTTTCGCGCGTGGCGACGACCCAATTAGATCCGCGTCAGAATTAAACGCGTTTTCGAATCGATTCGTCGCAACCTGCCCGCGAAGTCATCGTCGAGCGACTCGCTCGCTCGGCTGGTAACAAGAACGAGAAAGTAAAATCGAGTCATGACTCGAGCGAACCGGTTACGATCGAAACGTAACGAGATTACGCTCGTTTGCGCGCGTCCATTGAAATCGCTGGCCTCGAAAGGCTTGACGGTATCTATGGTAGCGAACGTTAACACGAGGGAAGGAGTTCTACCTGTTGTAACAAAGCTATAAGCACGGGAACATAAAGATTAAAAACCTCCCGAGGAGTCGTATCGAACATTTACACCTCTTGTACCAGATCCGTTTCGAAAGACAAGGTTTCAAATTCTTACGATCTATAAAAAGAAATTCGAGTATCCGTACGGTGATAACAGATGATTCGTTCTTTTATTCGATCCAATCAACCGCGATGACGAGGATTTCCGAGCTGCCTGACGCGAGAATTCGCGTGATTTGAATTTAATTGCGCGACCAATAAATTGCGAGGCCAGAAATGTTTGCAATACGCTCGGTGCATTGGCAAGATTTAATATCCGTTGCTCACACGGTCAAACGGACGACACGGGCATATAATTACTACCGACGCGAAAACGTTTATCACGCTGTTTGACCAATTGGCCGAATTGCCATGATGTTCAGCCGTACAGGAATCGTCCCCGCGGTCTGTTTCCAACGGAGACGAGCAAAAATTGCGCGAAAGAGTTTAAAAAAAGAACGCGAGGGGTGGGCCAAGAGTCGAAGGATTCTCGCGCGTCGTTTGCGTCACGGGATAAGATTCGACCCATCGACGGTACTCTTTCCGTGCGTACATTTGGTTGAGCTTTTTGCGCCGTGAGTTTTTTCTCTTGGCCCTTTTGACGTCAATCTCGTTCCCATAAGCGACGCACATGTGCTCCATGCGTCCTGGACGGTTAGGTTCGCGATATCGTCTCGCTGATCCGCGATTTAAACGGCCAATGAAAATTCCACGGTGACCCAGTTCCTCCCTGATCGATGGCGACGCTTGTTCCAGCCTCAGGATCTCGTTCGATCGATCGTGAACTCGATAACCAAATGTCATTCGATGTCGCGTGTCGTGTGTTTCGGATGCTCGAATTAGCGAAAATATTCGAGGACCAGCATTGTTTATAAATCGCTCGCCCTTAAAGGTCGTTTCGCAACGATGACTACTAAGTAGACGTACTCGAGGAGTCTCCCTCTCGATCTTTAACGCTCGTGACTTAGCCTTTCCAGGGTTAATTAGCTGCGAAAACGCGAGCGTGCTATCGGCACGTTGCTCGACCGCTTTCGATTCAGCCGTCTCTAAATATTTAATCCGGCGACGACCCGCGCTCGAAAAGGAACGTCTCGGCTCTCGAATACGCGGCACAGTTTCTTCCGTAATTCGGCCGACTCGTCCAGGGATGCAAATTACCGTGCTCGGTTAAATCCGTGCTAACTGAATTCCTTGATAAATTCCAACCGTCTCGACGGCGAAATTTTCCTCGGGAGAAGAAACTCGAGTTATTTACGCGCGGCGAAATTCAACGCGCTATTGTCGATGTTCTCGAGAATTCTCATCCGACGTTTGTTGTTGCGAAAAGAAGGGGAGACTTTTGTTTCGAATTAAAACAGAACAAAGGGGGCGCGTTATTCCGGTAGGAGCGAAGCACGGTTTCTTTCTTCCGTGTCTCCTTGAGGGATCCTCTCGCTTTAGCGCTTCGAAAAATGGGTCATCTTTGCGATTTTTTTTCTGCTGAAAACGGTCGATTGCTTCTAAATTTTCTACACACTTTTAAAATAACGCAAGAGGGACAAACAAAGTTGTTTTGGTTTTTTTTTTTTTTTTTAAAAACTTTACGACGAGAAGACGCCACGGAGAGGCGCGAAACGCGAGTTGGAGGCGGGCAAAAGCGACGAGCAATAATTACAGCTCACTTAATACCTACGCTCGGGAGGCCCACGCTCGAGAGCGTGTACTTGACGGGATGACGAATCGCGAGCCAAGCCCTCTTCTCGTAGCTGGAATATATTACAACGTTACCCGTTTCGAGGCGAACAGATTATGTATCGCGGGAGACCACTTCGATCGGCCAAATTCCGCCCCAAACTAACCGGAAGTAATTAAAACATTATTTCTGAGAAGCTTTCGCGCCAAGTGCCCCCCTGAGGTGGAAAAATGGTTTCCAATGGCGTATTATTCATCGGAATAATGAACTTCTCGGAGACCTATGGATAGACCGAATAAAAGTAACGGCTCCCTCTCCGTTGTATTTGCTGGATAGTGTCGAAAGTCGTCGAGAAGTTTGCGAAACGTACACACCAGCTGGAGTCGGTCGATAATCCTGAAAACGGAAGGGGTGGGTCGCGTTCGCGAAAATTGGCCGAGGAGCTCTCGAGGCTACGAGTCCGCTCATTGTTCGGCTCGATGTCAAGGACTTCACTCGATGTAATTAGCGTCGAAACGCTCGCGCGAGCACGCCAACCGGCGAGTAGCGCGAATTTTCATGACAAAAGCGTTCCCGCGGGACACTTGGCAAGCGACTGAAATACTCTGTCCACCGCGACCAAGGGAACCGTTTTCCCTTCAAACGGCCGGTCCTCGCTCGTTAAAACGCGCGCTAAGCGGGAACAAAGGGACGAAATGTTTCTCTAACGATTTCCCTCTCTGTTTGCAGGACCGTCCCCGGATTTCAGCAGGCACGCGCTGGTCAGGCCGCGCGTGTACCACGGCAGGACCAAGCGGCAGATCTCATCCACCAAAGAAAACGTGAGTACCATTTTTCTATTCTCTAACTCCAAGCGAATCAAAGGCCTCAACGGCCACGTCTATCCCTTTATTGTAACGTTACGAGCATCGCGGCACTGGTTCTGTTAGATTTTTTACTGTAAGAGAAAGTTGTCATTGTGCGGAAGTTCTGGATTTTTCCAAACCGACGGCTACACGTAGCATCGAAGGGAAAAGCGCGTAAAGAGGAAACAAAGGGACATTCGTAACGAGCTATTAAATTACTTTTCTTACATTACGATGTTTGTTCCGTGACAATATTAGTCGGAGGTCAGAATACGAGTGAGAGACGCAGGATCTCGAAATCGTTCAATTTACAATACACATAATAACACTTAAACATAACAATAGATGTAGCGATTAGTGGTACTGGTTCCTACAGGGTCTCGACGCTTAGACGAAGCGATGTGCGAAATTAAGTTCCTGGAATTCACCACTTATAAATTAGTGGCTTATGTAAAGTTCTAGTTATGCAGTAGCGGAACACGCGTGTAATTGCAGCTTTAGGGTTGGGCGATGTTCGTTTTTAGTCACTGCAAGTGGAGACACGCGAATCGAGGTCTACGTAAGCACATTCGCGCGAGCACGCGGACGAGTTAGAATGCGGGACACGAGCCGACGACGGGTGCAACAATTTCAATGCAAATGTCGCGTCGCGGCGCGAATACGAAATACAAGATCGCGGCGCTAACCGCGACCTACCTGCAGCGAGAAGACAAGAGATCGAGACGGAAATTTCGCCCATATCTGGCCGGATATCTCGTCTCGAGCGATGCTTCCGTCGCGAACTCCGCTACCAGCTCCCCATTCGCGCTTAATACACACTTTCGTAAAACAGATGTTCCGGTGAAGCGTTTTGTGCCCGGGCTATTTTCAAACGGTCTGTTCCCTGGATCCACTCAGGATCCACGCACTTCGTGCGAGCTCGAAACAAAACAAACAATCGGGAGCATTCCTGCGGCATTTCTAGCGCCGATATCGAGGGGCAGAATAGACAACAAGCTACCAGAGACTCCTCACGAGTGTCTACTGTGCAAATGTAACGTTGTAAAATGTTGCATTCGATGCACGCGTTACGAAATAACGCCTCGGAGCAGATTCGTATATTACGCTTCTTAATTAATGTTGTTTAAATATTCTTTTTTAATCATTTTTATCAGGTATTGTTTCCACGAATTACTCCTTTTCGCAACATTTATTGAATTCAATATTTACACAATGTTTATAATTATATTCAATTGTAAATAGAGATGGACGTGGAAAAAATATTTAGGACGCTAAGGTGAACAACATTTACTCGCTCAAAAAGTGGCCCTCAGCATACAGAGATTAGAACACTATCCTTTTCAAATTGAATTCCTGATTTAATCTTAACGTTATGTCGTAACTCTGATTACAGTGTTTCTATAGCCTGTATATTCACGAATTCCTCGTAACGATACCTAAGAAATACCTAAAATTCGTTCCACTGGATAAAATGCGTAACTTCTAAAAAATATTTTCGATGTTCGCGTTGGAAAAAATTATGGTCTTTCGTGAAAAAATTCCTGGTATTTCGAAGCTCTAGCTGGAGCGTGAGAGGAGTCCCTTTAAAGTTTCCCGCGACTCAGGACTACGTTTCGAGGGACGATACGCGCATCCGAGAGCAAACACAGCATCCGAGGAGGAAAGTTTTACGTATGTTCCGGCGGGTCGAGGTACCCGCGCCCACGCGTCCTGCGGCGCGTTGCTGTTTGCATGCTTTTCGGGAGCATTAACATAGACAGGGAGGGATAAACAAATTGCGCGGTGTCCGTGCAAGCTATACTCTCGACTCTTCCGCTCGAGATTCTCCGCGCTTCGAAACACTTTGGAACACGTCAAACTCATTTTAGCCTCGGGGCCAATTTGCACTTTGCCGCCGTGTCACGAGCCGCGGCGCGGCGCGGCGTTAGTTTCCTACGGAGTGTGCTTGTCGATACGTCGAGCGAATGCCGACTAATTAACACTTTTGAACAATCGTATTCGTAGCGAATATAATCGCACGAACCGCAAATATGAAATTGAAATTGGAGTTGCGAACTCGTCGATATTTCGAATAAAGGAGGATGTTTGTTTGCTGTGTATAATTAAATCGAAATTTGTGAAAAACGTAGTCGTTGCAGAAAGGGAGTAACGTTTCTCGTGTTTCTAAAGTTCGTTCTACCAGAGATCATTCGTGCCAGGTTTTTTCTTTAAATTGCGCCGTGAACCCAAAGAGATTAAGAATCTTCCGAACTGTGTCGCGCGCTCAAAAAGATTAATGACCCCGGCCCGATACTTTAACCTCGACGCTTCCGCGAGATTTATCGAATCGGATGCTGGCTAAAAGTTACGACAGAGGTTTAAAGAGAAACGTTGGAGAACGCGTGGCGATCGACTCGAGAGTAGAGAAACTTCCCTGGGGAAAAAAACTACCGTTTGATCGAATGGTATCTCCTTAACCGGGGTTCATTTGTAACGGGAGGGCGGTTTCGCCTTCGACTCCCGAGCGAAAAGGGGAGTTCCAGATAGCGCGATCGAACTGGCGCAAAGTCGTTTTGCTCCTTAATTCGAAGAGGGGAAGTCAAACTGTTCGTGAAAATCGCGAGGAACGAAACCCGGATGGAAGCGAATGGTCGCGGGGACGAAAAAGCCGATTCGTTGCCTGATATACGCTGGATCCTAAACAGAAGCGACTCTGGCGGCATCAACGAACCAAGGCAATTGACCCCGTTTCTCGTTATCACGGGGAAGAATGAACGTTATCAGCGCGTCTGTCCGCGACGAATCTAATTTCCTGCCACGTAGCCTCGCACCGCCATTCGTCGAAACTCGGTGTCGATTCTTTTCGCGAGAGAGTCGGACCTTTTAAAGGGGGCTATTTTATTTTTCTTCCCAGAGAAGGAAACGCTACTACCAGCTCGTTTCTAGTGTTGGATCGATTGAAATTACTTGACGCGACGCTAACAAGCGTCTAGGCCTCGTTAAAACAGACGCTCTGAATGCTTGTTGTATCGTCTATTCACGGAGCGCGTGGGTTTGTTTTAAGAGTGGAGCGAGACTAAAGTGTTAATCGTGCCGCGATCCTCGACACGCGACTCCCTCGACGGTAAATCCGTTTTGTTAAACCGAGACACCGAACAAGGTCTCGCTAGACGAAATCTTAACAGATTGTTGAATATGTAGCTCGTCGCTGGAGGAAACTCTTACTCCACAAGAAAGTCAAAAAGAAAGCGACCAACTATTCTATTAACGAGATACAAGTTTCTCTCTCGCGTGTATGCTCGGTATATTTAATCATAGTTAACGCTATCTTCGAAATTACTGAATCGTGGATATCAGTCAATCGGCACTTGGACTCGTTAGAGAGAAACATTCGCTCGATGGGTGAATCACGCATAGAGTGGCAACAACATTCACCGTTCACCACTCGACTCTTCGATTGTCTCTTCATCGTCACTTCCGCCAGGAACATCGTACGATGCATGCACGTCAATAGGAAGCAATGGATGGGTTTAAACCTCGATTGAAGAGCGAAAATATCTTCTACAAATTGAAACCTGTAACGTGCCTACAATGCTCGATATGAGGAAACAGATGATGCTTCTGATATACCGAGTAACAGCGTGAAGAAGTTAACGTTGTATACTAACGTACCTCGTAGAAGGTCCTCTTCAAAGTTGTAGAAGTTCTTGAACGTATTCGACAGCGACAGAATTAACCCTTTGCACTCCAAGCAATTTGGCTATGTGCGGGTAGTCAACTCCGAGATCATTTTTCTTAGATTTCTCAGTTATAGAAGGGCCACGAGAAACTCTTTGCAGTTTGTTATATTATATTTTATTTAGAATTTTACATTTTTCTTAACCGAACATAATCACACGAAGTTGTTTGAAACAAATAGTGAAAAACTAATGTATTTTTTAACGCTATTGCTTAACCCTTGGAAGCCTGATTTTCCAAATTGAACTAAACAAAATGTCAATGTATTTATTATTTAAACAATTTTTACAGCTGACGTTTATTTTTTCGACTTTTATTCGAAAGAACATACATACAGCCAAATATTAAAAACAAATCAATCGCAAGTGTTCAATTCGATTTAAAAGTCTGGTATCAAATTTGAAAAGGGCATTTAAGGGTTAAGAATATTTATCTTGTAACTAATTGAATTTAGACAACCCATCGCTAATTAAAACTTAATGATAATTTGTGAGCAGCGACACTGACCGTAGGAGTAGGACGTGTTCAGGTTCCTGGGTAGTACATGTGGCTTTAGAAGTGCAAAGGGTTAATAACGCGCAGTTTCTCTCGTGGAAGGAAAACTCGGACGGGTTTTAAGAGAATAGAAACGAAATAAACCGCATCCGAAGCCAATAAATCGGGAGGAAAGGTGCTCGTCGATAAAGCCTCGACTCTGTTTGCCGGTTTATCGTGCACCAGCTCGAAAAACCACTCGACGATAGTCTTGTCGGCGGCGGTGTAACGTTCCGGGGAAGAAAGCATAGAAAAGAGAGGAAAACAGGGGAAAAAGGAGGAAAGCTGGGTAAAGAGATTGCGTAGGTTCCTTTTATCCGACCACAAAGGGAAATTGAGTGGTCCCTCTATCGCTCTGCGCGTTCCAGATGCACCGCTTTTCGCCTAAAATGTTCACCGATGATGAGGCGCGGGAAAGGGGAGTACGGGAAAGAAAATTCGTTAAGTGCATCCAGTTTGGACCCGCAACGATAAACGTTCAAAGCTGCCTTCGATCCTCCGTAACCCCGTACGAGACTCCGAACTCGTATATCGATATTTTCTGTTCCGTCCGTTTCACTCTTCGTCGCGTGAATTTTACTTTATCCTCAAAAAATTTACAACGTGGAAGCTGCATACTCTTTTATCTCGGTGAATTCAACGATCGAGTGTTTGGCGGGACCTTCGCGAACGGAACTGGCAGGTTGTTAGGAAACGCGTAGCCGCGATAAAGGGCGGATACGACGCAGTCCCGGGCGGAAAAACCGAAAGAACGGTTGCAGCGTACAATGGAAATTTTCCCGCAGATTACGGTTAATCATTTCCCGGTCCCTTTGACGGTATCAGAGGCCTCTAGGACGCGGAAACGGGAGTTCCTACTTCCTCCTTGTTCTTCTAGCCTCGACCTAGTCGCCGAGACCAGTTTAAAAGATGCCTTTCATCCTACGCTGCACCTACAAAGAGCCCCTCTGTACGTTGCCATAGGTACATTGTGCACCGCTCGCCGCAGGCTCGTTAACCGCACGAATTTCCAAGAAGCGGCCCGTTCGAATAATTAACGAGTCTTTCGCGCCGTAAACAGTCCGCCGCGCGTTGGTTTCATATTAATTTTACTTTGCAAACCTCCCAAAACCATTTTACAGTTTTATGCACGCTCGGTCCCCTACGTATTCGTACCCTCTGTGTTTATTAAAGAAATTTATTCAAATCAATCTTCCAAAATTTATGTTCGTCTACTAAAAGTTAATTTTGTACGGTGGACCATTTTTCGTAAAGAAATTGCTAAAGGTAAGCTTGAAATCGATCCAAAAAGCGTGAATGCCCTTTAACGTCGCGCGCGTTCATTCGGTCAGGCAACCGCAGACAGATTGGCTACGGTAATTGCGACTGCTCGTGGCCCTGGTGTTTATTTCGAAATTAACGCGATAAATCCCTCGGTTATGTCGTAATAGGTATTATTGCGGTATCGCGTGCGCGGTCCATAGCACCGATGGATCCGCGACTAAAAAATACATAAAAAATAAATGATTCGGAGCAGTAGCATCGGCAGTCACGTTTCCACGTATGCAAATCGAACACGTTTTTCAACTCTTTCCATCAAACAACACGGAATCAATCGCAGATTCAATCACAGAAATCGCGAACAATTTTATTTTCATATACGATACAAAAACAAGGGTAAATCATTTTTCAGTTTATACAAATATAGCCGAGCCGCGAAATCTGCTCTTCCGGGAAAAGAATCGTTACCTAATTTTTTCCTACAGCGTTTTCCTTCCTTGTAGAATGGGACAAATATGATAAAAACCAACTGGATGACGCCTCGTGTAATTTCCGTTTGATTGACCAAGCTCGGTGAACAAACATAGTCTCGCGGTCGATCGACCGACATAGGGGGCGATGAATTGTCCGCGACCGCGGCGATCGAACAAACGAGCCAAGGCGATGCAATTAAAACTCGCGATGCTTCGGTCATTAGCGAATTTAAATGACCAGGTGCTCTGGAGTCGTTGTTTCGATCGACGCGTCGATGGAATCCGATAATGAACGATGGCTTCCAGTTAACCCACCTTTTTCCTTACCTTTAATCAGACTTTATGTACATCTATGCAGCATCGCAACGGCAGATCTGTGATTTTCCTTGGCGGTGACATTTTAGTCAGTATTCCACGCGAGTTGCAAAAAGGACGCCTTTTGCAAGAACCAGCGTTTCTCGTGATAAGGATACTTGCCGAAAATGAGCTCGATGCGAGACCTTCCGTGTTCCCAGCTCGTTCTACGCGAAACGAGGGCCGCAATCAGGGATAGGCGTTGAGGGCCACGATTCGCAGAAACAGGGCTCTGGCGACAATGGTTTCGTGGGCGCGGCGAATGAGACACGTGGATGACTTTCACGGGAATTACGTCGAGTATCTCTCGAGCTTCCCTCGCAGAGGGAGACAACTTCTTTCCCCTGTTTTACGGTGTGATCCTGCTAACCGAATTTCAGGGGTAAGCTCTTCCCCATTTTCGGTGTCTTCCAATCGATAAACACGACAGTTTTCTGGTAGGAAAGACGCTCTGTTTTAATGAAATTCTGCTAACAATAATTGGTTGAACAATCGCTAGAAGATGCATAAAAAGTTGCATCCGTAGAAACGATAGAGCAACAATAGCTCGCTCTTCCACTTTCTCGCTTTGCAAGTGCATCATACCTCTCTAACACGTGGCGATAACAGAGCTACCGAACTTCAACAATTCATTTTAAAATCTAAATGTTGATGAAAACAAATCTGGATAGAATTTGTATGAGAGTACAAACATAAGTAATACGACAAACGATGGATTCTATGGTTTCCATGTGAATCAGTCTGGCGATCAATCTGTTAGCACGTTGACTGCCAGATTAATACTCTTGAAAATTTTTACCGAGATCGACTTTAATTTACAGTCTACTGGAAGCTACGTAATCAAACATTTATTTTTGTAACTTCATCGAAATTCAAGAATTTAATTCGAATTTATTTTCCTTGATACTTAATATTCAGAATTAATTTTATTAGCTCTTCGGTGAAAAGCACAATCGTCCATATGTGGCGATGAACGTGTTAAACCCATAAATCGAAATATTATCGAAAAGAATCGCTTGGAAGCCGCGAGCGCGGAACGAAGGTTAAAAAATGAAGGTTCGATCAGCCGTTACGAAGGCTTCCCACGTAATTCGTTAGCGGATGGATCGAGGTAGGCAGCGGGGCCAAGGAAAAACCCTGACCCCAGCGTACATTTGTTTCGCGATATCGACTCGGAACTCGAGCACGGGTCACGGCGGGAACGGCGACTGGAATATCGAGGAACGTTTCCCAGTTTGGCGGTGGGCCAGGTATGGATTGCTAACTGTCGGACGACGATGATAGAATCCGCGCCGAGAGAATTCCGTGGATCCATCTATCGTCGATCCTGGCTGCATCCTCGCAGCGTGCCCGGAATATCTGAAAACGTACGACCCCGGGAGAAGGTTTTTCACTGCGCGCCTGGGATTCGGCTCTGGTTCGATAGAGCCCTGCGACGCGAATCACCAGACCAGTGGAACGTGTACTGCGATGGTTTTGCTCTCTGTAATTTAAACTGCTGGATTTCCCGACGAAGGAGGCTTAGTCGCATGAAAATAAGCAAAGGTCGACGACGTATAGAGGGCCAAAGAAAATTCTACATACGATACACCTTGGAAATTTTCTTTACATAAATGGCAAAGAAACAATCCTCGGTATCAATTATCGGTAGATTAAGGCTTAAAAACGACGGATCAACGACCATATCTGTATCTCAACGGATGACAATGGCTCGAGTGCAATGGATAGCTTGGAGTTTGAAACGACCTCGTGAAACGAAGTCGTCCTGGTACCTGCAGTGGAGCGTGAAGCCGTGTCAAGGAGACTGTGACGATACCGGAGCGAATCAGTGACCGAAATTCCATGGAGAACGCGCTTGCCACCTCGACGTCCTCGACCCTCGCGCTTGGCGACGTAGGCATACATGCGACATATTCCTCGGGTATGCACGCAACGCGTGATATTTCCTCTTAGGGAGGAAATGGGACGCGTCCCCTATGAATTAAACATGGGGTGGATTCGAGAGGACGTCGAGGGCGCAAACGAGATTCGTAAATTCATTTGGGCGGTGTCTGCCACGCGTATGATCGTTGAAAAAACTCGGATGGAATCCTCCCTGTGGCAAGGAGCGAATAATAAATGTTTAAACGGACGACTTTTCGGTTCCGTGGTCGAGCATCGAGCTAGCGCGGAAAAATGAGACCGTGTCCGATGAAAATAGCGAACGTTCGTGATTCTTTCCTGATGCCGAATCAAATCGAATCAATTTCCAAGCGAGGCTCGTCGAAATTGTTAGAAAGTCACGCAGCGAGCGAACGAACCAGCTCGTGCAACGGATAATGGCTTTTTATCATCGGACCGTTGACGGAGAAAGTGTTTTCCGTGTAGGCAAGACGGTCAACGATCGAACAGTTGCGTTGAAAAAATCGAGCAAAATTACAACGGTCAGTGTTACATTTTAAATATCTATCGATACCGTCGATGGCGACATAAATTTTAATAAATTCAACATACATCGGTTTATGTATCGGCGTATGCATCGGTTGTTATCCCTCTTGGGAAAGCACAAGAGCTTTCCTCAGGGTAGGATAAATCTCGTGAGTTTCCTCGGTTTTCCCGCGGCATTGATTCTCAGAGGATCGCGGCGCGTTTCTTCTTTCATCGTGATCCTCTCGGCGACTGCGACGGCGGCGCGCAACAGGTGCATAATGTCGAGCTTCGAAACGATTATAATGCATTTGAGCGTCGATTCGACGGAGTTTTATCGGGCGTGTTTGAGCGGAAACGCGACGGTTACGAGATAGGAAAGCGTGCTACGAGGAATCTTGCTGCTTCGAATCGAAATGGCCCATCCATCTAACTCGTCTGCCGTTTGCTTTCAGGACATCGAGCACGCGGACGTGCTGACGGTGGGCTTCGAGCTGGATGGGGTGAAGCGCGTGCTGGACCTCAGGCTGAACACCGATCTGATCCCTGTCGGCTACCAGCAGCGTCATCAGCATCGTGGCGCGTACAAAGTGCACACGCCATCGAAAGTTGTGAGTACACTTGCCAGGATTTTCGTACACGAATGTGCTCTTCGGAGCCATCGATATCTTTGTCCCGAATACTTACTAGAGCAAAATAATTCGATAACTCTTGAGAAGCATCGTTAACTCCCATCACCTACATACGCGAGGAGAGATCCAATTTTCCACTGAATAACTTATAAGTGTAGAATCTCGTGATCCAATTAATCGTTTCTTTGGTAATATGGATCTCTTCTTCGTGCAAACCTTTCGAGAGTACCTCGAGCTTCTATCCGGTAGATTATTGTACGTAGAACGATATTCGAATAATCCATGTTCAGCAAACGTTGCCTCGAAACGAAAACACCAGTCGGATACAAAACACAGGTGTAAAGAACACCGAAATCGATAACGGTGACTCGCTATCCGACCAGACCGAAAGCTATAGACGACCGTAGAGACGTTTCGAGAGTATCGATCACTCTTAACAACGTTCGCCTATGCTTCGCCTTTGTCCAACCACTCCCTGTTCCGACTAGGCCTGCGGCTGTTCGAATAATTTAATGCCCGAGTACTTTATGGATACACGAATAAGTTTAAAAAAGGCAAAAAGTTACTCGACGTCCACGATGATAGAAAGGGGTCATCCTCCGATGTAGGCGTGTCAAGCAAAGCTCAAGAATAAACGCGCTGGCAAGAACCTAGAGATCCTAGAGTTATGCAGCGGATTCGAGTACGAATCCGATACGGGAATGGAAAGTTTCTCGACAGTTTTCCCTGGACGATTTTTCCAGTTCGTCGTCGCAGCGCGAGGTAATTCATATTTTTGCGAGTTCCATTAGTAGTATCATCGCGCGCGGATCGTGAATCACCCCGAGAAGAATAACGGGCTTTCCTCGACGTCGCGCGGACGCTTCGGACAGACAGAAAAATGGCTGTCCAGGTTGTTCAACGATTTGGACACCTACCATTGATATAAATTTTTGCGACGCGCGTTATTCACGGTTAATGGCCACGCATAAAGCGATCGGCCAGAGTCAGACCAGCAGTGTTTCATCGACCGGGACGAGTTCGTTGCGCTCTGTTGTCGTCGGTTCCACATTTTACGCAATTGAATAAACGAATTGGCACGTCCAGTTGTGCCGTCTACCCCGCTGTCTCTCTCTGGTTCACTCTCGTCTCCCTTTCTCGCCACGGTTTATTTGCGCTCGTCGTTGCAGGACAAGCGGACGAGCTAATTTCGGTCGTTTTAAATGGGGGAAATTCCGCGAATCTAACTAGTTAGAATGCTCTTCGGAGGTTTCGCAGCCGAAACGGTTGTAGTTATTGCCTTTTGTTCGTCTGTCCGTTCGCCGCTTTGTCTGCGAAAGAAACTTTGGCTAAATTAAATTCCGTCGGAACGGAATTGCTCTTCCCACGCCGGAAGATTTCTTCATCTCTCCGCTGGAATATTATAGTATAGGCAAACTTTTATCCAGACACCAAATCGAAAGAGTCCATCAAAATCAGTATTACCCATACTACCGATAGGCAAATGTCTAAACAGTCTCAGTTTGTGGTTGATACACTATTTAGCTTCTTCATCTCACCGCCAAAGTGCGAAGCAGTCAGTTTACGCGAGTTGCCATTAGAGTCTGAACGTTTGCACTGTTGAACACAGGATTTTAACTGCGCATAGTTGGAAAGCACCGAATTTGATATTATGTTACACAGTGTCACCTTGCACTTTACTGGAAAGGACCTTCATGTACTGGCTGTTCATTTCGATTTCACATCTTTTTCTACTTTCTTGCATTTTTTTAGGAGCATCTTCTATTTTTTTATGGTTACTCTTTAAGTCCTCCACTTTTTCATGTACTTTGCGTAATTTTTTTACATTTTTGAAGTTTTTTATGGGGATCAATATTACCCATACTACCGATCTCCTCTTTGTCTAAAGCCGGCGACCGACTTGCAACAGAACATTGTAATGTATAACGCGAGCTTTCGCTTAGTCCGGACGGATTTTTGCGCTTGGTTCGCGCTCGACCGTGCTCCACCGGTCTGTCGGTTTTTTGACGAACATCTTCGATCGTCTACTTTTCACTGAATCGAGTAGGAAGCATCGAGAGAGAATTCTAGCCGAGAGTTCGAAGCGAGCATTCGTGATTCCAACAACGACCTTGTAATGTAACGCTGGTGCCGAACCGTACAATTCGTACCGAACAGTTACGTTACAGCGTTCTGTTGCAAATCACTCGCCGGCTTAATAAAAAGTCTTGGTCGATACGATAGAGTGACCTGTCGGTAACGCAACGCACTCCGTCGAAAATGTAGAACTTTAACTGTTCGAAATAGTCGTCAACGCAGCGTTCTAGATTGCCAACAGAAAGACCAGTCTTATCGACTTGACGTTATACATTACCGAGATTTAGCGAAAGAGTCTTATAATCCGAATATCTCGCTTCGATGAACGAGAGGGAGAAGGCGAGGCGATGACGTTTGCATTTCGAGACAGCGGATCCTTTCTCGCTAGGAACGAGCAAAAGGAAGACGAAAAGAAAGACCGGCCCAGCAGAATCTGGGCCAACTATATTTGTGGCGGACGGGCGAACGCGTCCGAGAATCCGAGATAAGCCGGGGAAAATTCATTCTCGAGTTTCGTCCACGCCGAGAATCCTCCTCGGATCGCGTCATAGCTCTCCGCGTCTATTTTTCATGTTTTCCAGAGATGACCCCCTTCCATACGAACCTGGGTCATTCTCCATACCGAATCCCTCGCTTTTACGATTAATATTTCAACGAAATTTAAATGTATTACAATCTATGCGCGAAAAGGTGCGTTGGGAGCCGTTTGGTTGAAAAGATCGCGAAGGCAACCTGTTAAGTAAAAAGGAAAACGAAATAAAGAGAAGATTTCGTTGAACGATTAAGAATCGTAGGTAAAATTTACAGGAACTCTGCCACTACCAAGGCAGCGTCCGCGACGTTCCCGGCTCTTGGGTAGCGTTGTCTACGTGCAGAGGATTGCGGGGAGTCGTTTTCGATGGCGAGAATCTTCACCATATCCACCCGGAGAAGGAGTCGCTGGACTCGAAACATTTCGTCTACAAGCACAGCGATCTCCTGAGCAATCACACCTGCGGTAAACGTCTCTACGTATGCTTTTAAAATTTTCCCAAATTACCTCGAAGCCCTAGCACCGTCTACTAGAAACGATCCCTGAAAGCTCGACGACCTTCCTAACCGGCTAGAAAACCGTGGATGGAATCGTAGCTATTACCCTTGCTCGTTGTAGCGCGCGCGCGCGCGCTCCTTTCCTGGGCTGGAAGACCTGTCTCGCGAATACTGGTCTCTCCTTAACGGTCTTAACGAATGTGGGAGCGAGATTCTGCCAGCTCGCTTGACTCTTTGTCCGTAAGTTTACCGGGAACTCGACCGAGGATGATGTTGGTTTTTTGTTCGACGCAGGTTACGAGGGAACGCCGCACCATGTTCTCGGCCGTGAACACCGCGGGATCGTCAACAGAGCCACGAGGGTACGACGCCATTGATTGCTTTTACGTCGCCACGGGATCGCGAGAACTTAACCCTTTGGACGACCGCGCGGTTACGTTCAGATAAATGTATTGTCTAAAATGTATCTATTCAAGTATCTATTCGATTAACACGTTGGTCGCCACGTTACCTAGGAGTGGGTCACAGGACTTTTCACTGAGGAATTAAAAATAGGAGATTCCATAGGAGTGGGTAATAAAAATATATCGGAAGAGGATTCCTGAGTATGGTTGAGAAATTCTAATAAATAGACTGCGGATCTTTATGGATTTATAGGAAATTTGAATGTGCAAGAACCTACAAAATGCACACAATACGCAAAAATATAAAAAAGATTGAAAGTAAAGTTCATGTTGTAATATTTGCGGAATAAAATAAATTCCTATTTAGGTTGAATTTTTGTAGGCAGGTTCGCGAAGATTTTATTACGCATAAACATCCGCAGTCCAATAATAAATACTAATCTTCGTCGATCGATCTTCAGACAAAATTCTAACTTCGTAGAAATTTTTACGAGTTCTAGTCTGACAACCAACGTGTTAACGAGACATCTCACTCGCTGGCGAACCGCCGCGTGGTCGTTCAAGGGTTAACGTGTCCGAGTGTAACGTTCGTCCCAAACCGTGACACGATGCACCTTCCGGTCGAGGCTTTTAAACGTCTTTGTCCGTCGTTAGACTACCTGGAAAACCGATGTATCTCGAAACGCAACGTACCGATCGACTTATCGCCGATCTTCTCGTCCGAGAAGTTCACGCGTCGAACGTTGAACGAATTGTGATTGGAAACGGACTTTTCTTGCAGCACAAGAGAGCGGCCGAAGTGATCCGAGGACCGTACAACGCGGACAAGCATTCGCGATACGTGGAGTTGGTCCTCGTGATCGATAAAAAAGAGTACATGGCCCTTGACGAGAATCTGGACAAAGTGTATCACCACTGCAAGGACATCGTTAATATAATCAACGCTGTTAGTATATCCACGTCCGTTTAATAGCTCGGGAGTTTAGATTAGCAGAGGCTCGAGAAATGTCTGTCGTGTTGCAGCTATACATGCCATTGAACATATTCATCGCCCTGGTTGGCGTGCAAGTTTGGTCGGACACGGACGAAATAACGCTATCCCCGAACGGGGACACCACCCTCTCCAATTTCCTGCGGTACAGGCGGGAGAAGTTGGTGCAGGACATGCCCAACGATAACGCCCAGCTGTTGACGTAAGTTGAGGGCAACGGAAATACGTACGTACACATTCGATTGGGAGGGGGAGGGGGAGGGGTTTGTCAACGTCAAACCCTGTGCCGATAAGTAGCGCAACAAATTCGTATTTGCGTTACCGAGATTTCCCTAAAAAATACTCCGCGTTATTTATCGTAGAATAGAGAAAAGATTTCTTGAATTTTGAAACTTGCAGGCGAATCGTGTTCGAAGGAGGCGTGGTAGGGAAGGCTCTTAAAGGGCCGATATGCACGTACGAATTCTCCGGTGGTGTCTCCATGGATCACTCGAACGTCGTGGGATTGGTGGCCGCCACCGTGGCTCACGAAATGGGTCACAATTTCGGGATGGAGCACGATTCCGCTGACTGCGAGTGTCCCGAAGAGAAGTAGGTCGAACTGCCTTAATTCTGTTTACTTTTTCACTGAGATCTTCCACTTCGACGTACACCCTACGCGAAACTCCAAACGCGATTGAGTATCGTCGTTCATTCCTTCTGATTCTGAAGTTACGATCTCATCGTATCGCTCTTTCATGGATTTCTGTTGAACTACGCCTTGGATGTAATATCGAATAATGTCCCGTATCCGTGAATATATAAATAAACGCTACAGATGCATCATGGCACCGTCGAGCGGCTCGTCGGGACCCACGCACTGGTCGACCTGCTCCCTGGACCATCTCGCTCTAGCCTTCGAACACGGAATGGATTACTGTCTCAGGAACAAGCCGCAGAAGCTCTTCGACAGTCCGATTTGCGGGAACGGGTTAGAATTTGTGTTATTTTGATACTTGATACGTCTCTATGTTCGAGTCGCAAACCTTTCCAGAGCAATATTTACTTTCGAAACGTCATTAGAGTGTGTTAACGCTAACAGGTTCGTCGAGCCTGGAGAACAGTGCGACTGCGGGCTGAAAGAGAATTGCGACAATCCTTGCTGCAACGTAACTACCTGCATGCTCCACGGCAACGCTAGCTGCGCCACGGGTAAATGCTGCGACCTGACGACCTGTCGCCCGAAAACTGCGGGCACGGAGTGCAGAAGCGCGGAGCACGAGTGCGATCTGCCCGAGTATTGCACCGGCCAGAGCGAGTACTGTCCAGCTGACGTGTTCAAGATGGACGGGGAGCCGTGCAGCATGGGAAAGGCGTTCTGCTATCAAGGTTCCTGCAGGACCCACAACGACCAGTGCAAGTTGTTGTGGGGACCCACGGGTACCTCGTCGGATGCGCAGTGTTACGACATGAACAACAGGGGCACGAAACACGGCAACTGCGGGTACAATCGCGTCCAGTCCAGTTACGTCAAGTGCACTGACGAGTAAGACGTCCTATATTCTTCTTGTTTTCGTGCGGCACTGTTGTCGGCTAAAATAATAAACGTGATATGTAATTTTTTTACTAATTTTAGAAATCTCCTTTGCGGAATGCTGCACTGCAAGCATTTGAACGAGAGATTGGAGTTCGGTGTAGAGTCCGTGGCAATTCTGAGTCATTCGTTCATCAACAACGGTGGGAAGATAATACCGTGCCGCTCGGCCATAGTGGATTTGGGTCTGAATCAAGTAGATCCTGGACTGACGCCGGATGGTGCAAAATGCGCGCCTGGAAAGGTAACTAAATAATTCTGGGGTATTCCAGCGACAATTGTTCTCGTCGAAACTACACCTGTACGATCTGTGTTTAGATGTGCGTAAATCAGAAATGCATGCCGGTTGCCGATTTGCGCGCGACCGTCTCCGGAGGGAAAGCGTGTCCCAATAATTGCGGAGGCAACGGGGTGTGCAACAGTCTTGGCCACTGCCACTGCAATCGCGGCTTCCGGCCACCCGATTGCACTCAACCTGGCGTTGGTGGATCCGAGGACAGCGGACCCGCAGACGATCCGAATGGTGAATTAATTCGTTCAACGATAACTAACAAAATCTTGATCGGTCTTCCTAAATTATACATATCATATATATGTAAGATATTATAATTTATACATCGGAGGCCTGCCGATAACTGCTTCTCAGCTACCGTTATTCGGCTTTCATCGCTTAACCTCTAAAGACAAAAGAGACATGCTTCTGGGCGCATGTGCGTGTGTCCTTTCGGTTTTGCCCGATGGCGGCCGCTGATTATTTAATCGACCGAGTCGCCTGTATCGCGCTATCCTACATATATCCCCTCGTATAGAAGACCCACATAGAAGGCTTAATTCGATGATCCCGTGTTGTTTGTGTTACAGCGAGGAACGACATGATTATGGCCATGTACATAATCTTTCTGGGCATCGTGCCGATGGCTGCCCTGTCCTCATTCGGCGTTTGGTATTTGAGAAACCCAGGCCAGCACTGGAAGAAGGGCATGATCGCAACGTACGTATCTAGTTTCGATCGTGTAAAAGAGAAACGCAAACCGCATGTCTTTCCGTCGCGTGGTGCACGTGGAGGGACGTCGTCGAGTCACACGATCGGTAAAAACTTTTACGAGAGGGTGGCGATATTCTTCACGCCGCGGCAGGAGAGCTCGCGCGACGCGAACCGAATATTCACGATCACCGACGGTCTGCCGCCGAAAGAGAAGCTTCAGATCACTAAAACCAACCTGATATCGACCACTAATCCGGACGTAATAAACGGTAGCAACAGCATCGAGTACAGAAAGTCCATGTTGCTCGCCAGCGTAGAGAGTCACAATATTAACAATAGAAAGTCCGACAGCGCTGAATCTGCTGACCGGTCAGTCGTTCACGTTGTCCCATCTCCGTCCGCGGAATCACGGCCGAGAAAGAATTCGCTCAGGTCGGAGCTGGGCTCGAAAATAGCGGAACGTATTCAGCAGATGCAAAAAAAGCCTTCGAAAAACGTGAAGGGACTTACACTGAAAACGGAAGTGAAGTTCGAACATTTGAACGATAGTCCCGGTAGTTCTGGTGTCCCGCCAAAGACTGGCGAACCCTTGTTGCCCGCTGAACAGCCATGCGTGAAAGTACAGGCTCCTTTTTACAATAAAAAACCACCTCCTCCGCCAGCCCCGGCTCAGAGTCTAAAGCCAAAGATCTAATCTCTCCTTCTCTTGTCTTAAGTTTTATTGTTTTCACACGCGAATTACCACTAATTATTATCTCAGTTTAGTGCGAAGGTCATAGTAGTTGTTTTATTTGGTTCTTTTTTTAAAATTTGAACTATGATCTTTGCATTACGATACACAAGGTTGGCAATAACGGTGGTGGTTAATTCATTTGAATCCTTACGATTGCCAAATCGACTTAAAATATGCACTGTGATTTTTTACTTTGTAATAGTTCGTAAAACGAATACTCCATCGCAGGGCTTTTCCGTTGGAAAGGAAACAAGAACTATGTACTTAATATTAAGTATACTTTAAGCTTTGAACGAATCTACGGACACTCGCGCTGCTCGCAAAAGGAAGTCCTGCCGCAGCGCTTTAAACGATTATATTTTTACAAATGTTCGAACATGAGAATACGATTTTATACCTATTACTATATAAATATTAATAAAATCTCGCGCGTAGGCGATTTATTTATTCGTTTACTATATACCATAACATGCTCAAGTATTGATACGTATATGACGTAATATAATCCTAGAATATTATATACGATTAAAGTATGCATATTACGTCGTATAAGAGTATTACCAAACAGAAAAAAAATGGGTGATAATAAAGTATTGTAGAATAGCGGTTGTCCATCGGTTCTCGAATTTTCACGGGAAAGACACATTTCGAAAACAGGTTGAGAACCGCGAACGTAGAGCATGCATAGAGATTGATGTGTGACACGAGCATGGGCATGTGTGAATTTCTTTTTTCGATGGCTTTTGCATTTAAAGATCTTCGAACGTTTCGCTTGCAATCGAATCGACGAGTCAGTATTAACGATTACTCGATACCCTTAATAATTCATTACCAAAACAACAAACAGAATAAACGAAAGGAGGCGTCAACGTTCGGTTAGTTTTGGCCAGAGATGGGCAGTATTTTATTCAAACGCCGGATGATGAAAAAAAAAAACAGCATAGCGACGTTTATACGATCGAGCAGTTATATAGATAAGTTTTTATTAAAAAGAAAAAGGTAAATAAAACTCTATTATCTTCTTTAGCCCTTACGTATCAGTCGTTAATTGTGTGATGGATGTACTTTAATTAAGCTCTTTCTAGGTGAGTGCAAATTGCACATGAAATTTTGTTTAATCACCATGAGTTATAATTTCATTCTTTGTTTCGAATTCTGATCTTCATTTATTTCATTTCTCATAGTTTTCATTTAGATAAGAGTTGTTTGTGCCCATCTCAGCTTTTACCGAGCAACGAGTCGATTCCAGTCATTTGCCAGGCATATTTTCAATATCCTGCAAAATTGCTCGCGTTTAAGCCGGATGGATTGTACAAGTTTATTCAATAAAAGTAGTGTTTTACGCAAAATGTACACAGTTTTCTTATGTAATTAAAAAACACAAAAAATATTTCCTTCTTCCAAAGAACTTGCTACTAACACTTTAATCTTCGACTAACATTTCCCTGCAAGTTTTTTGTCCGGTTGCATGCGTTTCGAGAATCGTTGAAAAGACTACGGTTCGAACGAGGAATGCTTGCCTTCGCGCAATCGTTTCTTCGTGGATCACGATGCTCGAGGAACTAACAAGGGCCCTGTCTACCCCCTCTGATTTTAACATATTTTTGAAAGATGACAGAAGATAACTCGCGATGCGTAAAATTGGGTTAAACGTTAACCCAAACAGATATCTGTACCCTACCATCCTACAAAAAAACATGTTAAAATTGGAGGGAAACAGATCGGCTCGCATCCTTGTAAGTGCATGCCAGTAGCGTTTCACGTGTGGCAAAGGTTTGGAAGGCCACATGCATTGGACATTGCTCGCGAGAAACGATCGTTGAGATCGATTGCAACGTTAGCTTGACGCTTGGCACCTCCTCGAATTCCCCGGCTTACACTTGTGCTTAAAATTTCAGGACCGATCGCGGCCACAATGGACTATCCATCAAAACGATCGATCGTTCCAGTCCCTTGCCCCGTAACATCGAAACGATCGATTCTAGCCTCAGTCAAGATCCAGCGTGCGCGAGTTTATTGCCGAAACCTGAAGCCGACGAGCGTTACAACAATAATCTATTCGGTCAGTTCAAAGGCTTCACGATAACCCCGATCAAGAATCAGTCGAAGAGCGGCGAGCCTACCAAGCCTGCGCCTCCTCCGCCCACGATTCCAACCGTGGCGATAAAAACCAACATCAAGGCACCGCCTAAGAGCAATCCGCCACGAAATTCTTTGCTGAACACAACGTCCTGCTTCACAGAGTCACCCACGGCTCCCATTTTGCCGCCACTGAATCCAGGATGCACGGCGCGTCCTTTGATCAGCAGTCCAGTCTTAGCAGCTACTACTTGTACGTCCGTCGAGTTGGTGGCGCCGAAACCACCGATCAGACCTTCTATGGACGTGCCCACTAGACCTGCACCTGCTCCCCCGATCTCCATCGACCTTCAGAAGCCCCAAAGACCGAACAGCACGCCGTTGACCAACCTACTGCTTCCCGAGATAGAGAAAAAGCCAGATAAGGGTAGCACTCTGAACAGGTTGGCTTCGATGCTTCGACCCAATTCGGGGATCATGAAGACGGGGCTACAGGTGTCGCAGAAAGACGACAAGAACACCAACTCTCTGCCTAGATCGCATCATCATAAGGCAAACAAGGTGATAGACAAAGAAATACTCAGGAACTTGGAGATCTCCAATCCTATACCTCAAAAAGAGATCGAGATTCCGACACCAGCGATACCGGTGGTACCTACCACAGAGGCTGAGAAACGTAACGTGGTATTGCGCGCCCAGTCCATGAGAGACAGCAAAATCACACCTAGACCCGCCATTCACACTTTCGGTTCGATGCGTCAGCAAACCACTCCGATTAAAAGACCTACCAGTATACCAGCTAGCACGAGACCCACGGCACCTCCTCCTGGTCCTCCGACTTCCACGACGTCGACTACGGCGACGACGACGGAGAAGATGAACGAGACTGGGAAGATTCCAGGACTACCAGGCTACCAGACGCCGCAGTTGAAGAGCACGCAAAAGCTCACAGACAACGCTTACGATGACTGCATGAACCTCGTCTCCGAGTCGTCTTTGACGAAAATCACCGAGGAATCGCCCACCAGCGACAACATCTACGCTGTGATCGAAGAGGCGATTCCTGAGAAGAGTAGAAAGACCCAGACGGAGTTAGACAAGCGCATAGACAACGAATACAAACTGCCAAAACGCGTCGAGACCTCTGCCAACCCTGCCAACTTGGAGCCTATGGGTCTGCTCTCGGAGATCGTGTCGGAGATATCGAATCGGAACTTCGATTCTATATATTCCACCGCGACCTTGTCTCGAAAAGCGAAAGAGAACGCAGAGACGTCCAAGAACGCGGAGGACTTGGGGTCGAACAGCTCGCTGGGAGCCTACGTGAACTCCAACCATTACAAATCGCCAGGCAGCATTTACTCTAACTCGGCATCCGGGAAATTCAATTCATCCAGCTCCACGACTAGCTCTGGCTACTTGAATCCGTCGGTGCTGAACGTGCCGCGGCAACAGTCCGTCAACGTCGAGTCGAAGACGATCGACAAGAGCAAGTTGACGTCCCTGAATTCGGCGAATCCGAATCTGAACGACGAAATATCGAAGGAGCTGGGCATGAAGCCCGCGACAGGGGATGTCTCTTTGATGAAAACTCGGCCGATTCAACGAGTCCCTGGAAGCCAGAAAGGCGAAGAATCGGTGGTAGACGGCAAAGAGCCTGCGAAACCACCCCTAGGGAGGACGAAAACGCCACCGCACATCGCCAAGGGTTCGACGACAAAGGAAGCAAACGACGCGACGAAAACTGCCACCAGACAAGCTCTGGACAACGCGTCGAAGTCTAAACCGTACTCGGATGGAAACTCCAAACCGTCGAAACCAGGATCGGATGTAGGTCAAACGAGTAACGCGCAGAGTCCTGACAAACAGGACTCTCGTACGAACGTTAATAGATTATCTATGAAAACTGTGCCTTGTAGCCCTAAGGATAACGGGGGAAAGTTCAACAGTCCTGACGTAGTGTCGAGCTGTTCGAGTTCCAATCAAAGCAGTACAAAGTCGCCGGACGTTCTGGGAAACAATCCAAAGTTTAGCTTTCAGCCGAAGACGGTTCAGAAGACGCCCACGATGCCGCGTGGCAGCGCTACCAAGACGCCGTCCGCGCCGTTGAAACCGTCGAGTATCGCGACCAAGACAGCTAGTCTCGCGGAGAAGAAGAAGTCACCTACTAACGCGAGCAAATCGTTCGGAGTGTCTGCGAAAGAGTCGATTTCGAAGAGCTCGCTACCGAAGGCAGCCCAGAAAACAGAGACTAAAGGTGCAGGAGACTCGGGGACAAAGACGAACCCAGTGCAAAGAGCAGCTACAGGGAAATCCAACGTGGCGTCCCTTCAACAAAAGTTCGAAGCTAACAAGAACGTTAACGCGTCGAGGACGGTACCGAGCGCACATAAAAAGACGGTTGGGAAGACGATAGAGATGACAGGTGTCAAAAAGTAATAAACGAACGTGTAGGGACTGCGCGAGATATTCTAGTCTGTCGTTGATTCACTTTCAGACGAAGTGAAGACGTACGAGATACGTCCGAACGATATTTCTATGATTTTATTTTATTTAAAGAGATCGTATGGGAAAGCAAAAAGCCTATAGAGCAGTGGTTCTTAGCCATTCTAAGCTCACGGCACAGTTTAGAAGGACATTCTTCGTTTCTTCGAGTCAACTCAATTCAAACAGTTTGTGAAAGGGAGACATAGCTCTTCTTGGTCGTAATTGTAGTAAAAAGTTAACGCTTAAATGTTTTATAGGTTCTTAAATTTGTACTACAATTATTCAGAATTAGGAACTGTGCTAGGAGTTTCTTCTATAAACTGTGCCGTGAGCACAATAAGATAGAGGCTCGTCTCCAAAATTGCGCTTCTAATTACATTCGCGGCGCAGTGGTTGAGAACCACTGGTACGGTGCAACGATCATGAACCTTTGACTGAAGTTATCGAGAGAGAAACAATCGATCGAGCAACTTCGCGACTGGAATTTTTGTATTTACTGCCGGAATACCAAGATGTAGCGTCGTTGGGTAAAAATCAAGTGGACGATTCGTAGGCCAATTGAATTTACTCCAACCCTAGGTTGTGTCAGCCGTGAAGTTCGCGGCGTTATACAGAATGTACCAGATCACATGGTTTCAATAGAAATCACCTCCTTTCGGGTTGTACCCCGATATTTTGGGACACCCTGTATTACCACTGTAAATAGTAGTTACTTAAAAATTCTAATATTTTTTGTAGACATCATCCATTTACCGGTAACGTTCGGATATACATGAAACACTAACGATCGTCGGGATATTTATCGTAAGAGGATTTTTTAAACGAGATGACAAAGTGAGCAATAATTTATTTTGAAAAAGTTTCGCTCGAGTAACGCAAGAGGAACGCGTAAGAAATTATTGAACTCTGTGATATACGTGTAACGAAAGATAGCACAGAAACATCATCGTACCGTACGTATTATAATAAAATAGCAGATTATAGACGCGACCAAATTTATCATTTTATAAACATAGAAAGTTTTCAAGGACGAATTAGTCTCTCGAGAGGAAAATCATATCTCAGAAAAAAAAAAAAAGAAACAAAATGGACTGTATATGGAGCAGCTTGTTCACTTTCCAAAGACTAAACGTTAAAGTCCACCTTCGTGAATGCAATTGTACCTTCGAGATTCCCCCGCGAATCAAAAATTTAAACGCGACTAGCCAGCGAACTTAAACGTTAGTGTCCGCTAGAGTAAACGCCTATAATCTAAGCAAAAGCGGGATTTCTTCTACGACGAAGTACGACTAGAGTACAACGGTAGGAATATTTTGCTTAAACAGCACGACTTCGGTTGTCCCGTTACTCTCGTTTTACACGTATCTTTCTTTTTCGTTTTGCTTTTTTTTTTTTTTTAATATATATAGACTCACGTTCGGGACTGAATCGGCCTCGAACGCATTGACGATGGACGAGTTTCGGGCACCGATGTCTGATCGCTAACTCTAGCATCGTTAGACACGCAAAGACTAAAAAGAAAACAACTATTTATTTGACTGACCGATATGTAAATATGTTTATAATGTAACATAGATGTAAGTCACATTTTGTACAATGTACCTTCGTGCTCGCTAAGTTAATTCGTGGACTACCCACCCTTGAACGCATACATGCGACTTCAGCATTTAGCTTTTTAACTGTGTCTCGTTCGATTTGTTGTTAAGCGCGTAAGTTTCGCCTGTACCTCTCTTTTCCCATCTACCCTCAAAAAAAAAAAAAAAGAACAAAGAAGACGAAAAAGAAGAAGAAGAAGAGGAAAAAGTAAAGGTTTTATTGAACGGTACAGTTGTAAAATATTTGTGCATTTATTATTTACACGAAGCGATCTCTCTCTCTCTCTCTCTCTCTCTCTCTCTCTCTCTCTCTCTCTCGTGATGTATTTTTACTTGTATACGATTGTTCGCTTTTAATTTATACAGTTCCTATGTACAGACGTTTCGATGCGTTGAAATTACTTTTTCTTCATTTCTTTAGAAATCGCAACTTTTAAGTTCAATAAAGCTTTTCGACAATATCCATCCACTAGGCGTGTCGTTTATAGTCGCTCACCGCTTTCGTTCGTTATGTTTTTCGCGCAATAGCATCGTATGTATTGCTCTGATGTAAAGACAATCAAATGTTTCGCACACGGCATATACGACTACAAAGAGAAAAATATCTGTCGAGGAAGCCTTGACCGACGAAAGATATCATTTTTAAGAGTACCATTCGTTTTCGAACACGTTTTAAATTGATTAGACGAGGTTCGTTAAATGCAATCGAGCAGCTACTATGGAAATTCTATGATTCTGTTGGCAATTGTTTTGCAGCTTATTGTAGTTAACAGATACCGTCGCATTCTACGTTCAATACCAAAGATAAATCGCATTCTACGTGTTAAACGGCCAAGATGTAGACTACTTAAACGTTGTCTTGAAACTTGTACATTTCCCAATCCATGGAATCGTTAGAATAAATTCTTTATTCCACGCATGCGATTTCTGAATCATTGACGCCGTGATCGAAAGAAGAGGTAGGTAAATAAATTGTATCTATAGCATAGCATCGAAATTAGAAAGAAAATAAAAGAAGGAATTGCATTCGTAAATTTTGTGTATATAACAAAAGAATGTGGTTCGCGTAGTCCTAAGCTGTACAATCCGCTCGCATAATTATTTTTATAAGTAACATTACGCGAATAAGCTTTCTTCCATTATTTGTTGATTCTTTTTTTCCACATGTTTTGCTGATCGAGCGCTTAATTTAACGTTGATTCGTTTATTTTAATTCCATAGAACTCGGGCATTCTTGTACGAAAATTGTAATAAATGGAATCAGCTGTGACAATCGACGTGGCTTCGAAAAAGCTAATTTATCATTTTATACTAAAATTGTGAATATCAAATGTTTACTCGAAGAGTTTGCCAAGTGGGAGAAACCTGCCTGTCGTGGTATTCCTTTCCAATAGAATTTATTCGAGTAGACTGTACATTTATAACGGATGTATTTGTCGATAAGTTTCTATGTTAAAATATTGTAAACAGCAGTCTCGAAGACTTTAAAGCATGGTCTTATTTACCACGTTCGTTTCATTTCTAATGTTTATCTTGTTCAGATACGAAGAATAAAAAGTACGGTTTCATAGGTTACGCGTCGCGACGAATTGTTTCGATTCAACACGATCGTAAATTTATAAATGGTGTAAGTGTTGTGTCGAATTAATGCGATTATTGATCCTTGTCGGTGACAATATTACAAATAACCTGTGAACGTAGCGTTGCCAAATGTTGCCCAACTACCTAAACACCGCATATCTATGTATGTATTATTACACGTTACTAGTTTGTCAAAGAACCGATAACCTAACAATCGCTTCACGTATTAACAAAGTTTTTAATAATATCTCATAGATGAAATCGTGAGGAATCTTAACGTTCGATGGTTTACTAAGCGCTACGTTATTACTGTGGAATAAAATGCACGCTTATGACATATAAGAATTGGAGTAAAAATTCCAGAATATGGTTACATGTTAGAAAAATTCATCCTAATTTGCAGGATATTACGATTTTCTATTTTTGTATGGTGAAAATGGCTCATGCCCTGTTACCGAATCTTATCCGTAAACCTGTAACATCTAATATGTCTCCTACAGATTTTACTCCAACAACTGCCTTATCCGAGGTGAGTTTCATATATACATTATACACATATATTTATTTTATTCTAACATTCTAATTTTATTTGCAGGTGCTGAACTCGGATCCAGTGAAACGTTTATTCAGTCGACCAAATATTGTTATTAAAACGATTCCTTTAAATGTACATGCAAATTCTACCTCGAATAATAACATTGCTGTAAACAATTTGTATAAATTTGATTCAGATTTAAACATTTCAAAGCAAACAGAATTAACCATAGTTCCTCTACCAAGTGATCAGGAAGAGAATCTGTTACCTTCGAAAAGAGAAGGTAAATCAGAAATTGCACTAGTGCCTATTAAGATGGAGAGAAAGCCTTGCGGTCATTATGAACCATGCGAGGAAATTGTGTGTGACGTAGCAGTACAACAATACGTAGATCGAGATGGAGTATCTCCAATGTTAGCCATCAACATAGAAGAAGACGAAATAAGTGCACCTGTTTCAAAACATTGTGCAAATGAAAAGTGTGATGCATTGAGCATCGATCACGATCGTTGTCGCAGAGCTGTGATAAGATTAAACAGATGCAATCGATCGACGGCTTGCGACATTTGTGGTATTGAGCTACAAACGCGAAGGTGTCGTATACATCATAAAAATTGTACGCGGAAGAACGAATATCGTCACAATGAAACAAATAGTGCTCAAATACTAAAAGAAAGAATGCGTGAAAGAGAAATGCAACTCATCGAAGCTTCTAAGGCAAAAAAGAATGATTATATGGATCTTACTACAGTAATGGAAACACTAAAAAATAATGCAGAGTTAATTATTATACCAAAATCAGTTGCTGTGCAGCAACCCATGGTTAACATAACTGTGTCCTCTACTCAAACTACCCAACAAGTTAACAACATGTATAATGTTTTTGGAAAACTTTTACCTAGTATACCAATTGTATTGCCACAACAAAGTATATTCGTTGGAAAAACACCGTGTTCTAACGAAAATAGTATAACTACTTCAGCAAATTTAACTTCGTCTAATAGTAGACCACTTACAACATCGACCAATACAGTCCCCTTACCTCAAAGTCAGTTTGTCACGTTTGCAACACACCACGATGCGCAGCCAATAACGTTAAACGATTTATTATTTTCACAATCACCGATTGTGACAAATTCACCTATTCAGCCTAAACCGTTGGTGACACCGATACGTGTTGTGCCTATAACCAATTTAATAACAGAACCATCGTTATTGCATCAAACACAGGGTATACCAAAGTTTTGTATTATAGCAGATCCGCCGGTACCAGCACCAGCACCAGCACCAGTAACTGTACCGTCACCGATACCTGTAGCAAAACGACGAACTACTCGACACTCAACTTCTGTGCCAAAAGTCAATACTCCAAAAGCTCTTAAAGGTACATTGCAAAAAAAGAAGAAAACAGCAATCAGAAAGAAACGCAGACACAAAAAGAAAGAGTTCAAATGCGAGTATTGTCTTAAATGTTTTAGTACAGATTGGTATTTCAAAGTGCATGTTGCTAAACATACAGGTGAAAAACGATTTCCTTGTAAAATATGTACAGAGTCCTTTAGCAATAGATATGACATGAAAAGACACATGTCAAAGGAGCATAAAAATGATAGTATTCCTTCTGGTCCATGTAACCAGCAAACTACTTTACAATGTTTAGACTGTAATATTAGTTACACATCTGTCGTTCTTTTGGAGCGTCATCGACAAAAATGTCATAAAAAAACAGAATGCACGATATGTCACGATGAAATTCTAATAGAAGAATTAGAGAGGCATATCGCGTCAGTGCACGATAAAATTGAAAGCATTGACATAAAAGAGGAAATTGTTGAAAATGGTAACGCGTATGACGAGATAAGTGAAACGAAGGTATTTTCGAAAAAAGAAATAAAAAAGGAACATGATCAGAACATGAATGGATATGTTTCTATTTCTGATCAATTAAGTGCTTCAGATATAAAAAAGGAATCGGAATATCAAGTATAAAGCATTCCAAGTTAGTCATTTATTAAAGTTGAAATAAGAAACGTTAAGATTGAAAGTATATTTGTTATAAACCGGAGTATGCAAAGTTGCCGCTAACAGATGTTTCAATGATGAAATACTATTTACACTAGATGTGTTAATATTTTTTTCAATAGTACTATTTATTTTTGAAAGAAGATTTCACGATATGCCTACTTGAAATTTATCTTTAAAATACACAGGGCAAATACAAATAAACGTTTAATTATCAATGTTGCAGAAACATGTTTCACAATATTTAAACTAAAATCATATTTTTGAACAACTAACATACTTTACAAAAATTTAAACATTAAAAAAAGATTTAAATTTAAGAATAATTATAAATTATTAACAATTTTCCAAACTGTGATACATGGCCACCTTTCCACTGTAACAATTTTGTTCGTTTGACATGAAAATTCAATATCCTTAACTGAATAGTGAATGTAACTTTGAGCACACTAATCACTTTTACAGACTTGAATACGATTATTACGATTGTGCACGTGAGTGACAATGTAATTACACATATCTCAAAACGCACAGCCCAATAATTTAAACAAAAGATCACATATATAGTTTAGAAGCAGAGAATTTTTTTTATTAATTTTAAAAGTATTTTGTATGGAAAGAGAGTTGAATGCCATTTTTAACGTGTAAATGTACATATAAATTGTATTGTGTTCCTTTTACTTTTAGCTAAATAGCTATTTAGTCAAAAGTATTGAATCATTCATTTAGATTAAAGTTTAGTAATGTTTTAGACATATTCAATAATATATTCTATAACTACGAAAAAAATGAATTAATATTGTTGAAAAGAGTTCTATATGACTTTGTCTAATTTATCATTACGTAGCTACTAATTAAAAATTTTTCACGAGAATTTTTAATTGTCTATGGAATATTTTGCCTTTCATTTTGCTATCTTCGATGAAAATGTATTACTAGAGATAGATCATTCTATTATGCACTACATATTCACGATAGCTATTCTTAGTAATGTTCGATTTTTTAAAGTAATATTAATCGCACGAATACCTTCATATCAAGAAAATATACACAGGCTACTGTTGAATAAATCAAATAGTTATGTTATATTGTATGACACAGATTAGACTGTCATTCTACATTGTTGTAGAGTACAGTTTAAACTTCGAAATTAATACCCAGATTTTACCGAATGTTGATAACAGAGATAGATCGCCAGGCTTAAAGAAAAGATAGTTTTCTTACAATACAGAAATGTTCCTTGATAAGGAAAGTGAGTGAAATATTACGTGCCTTCTAAATTTTAATGTTCCTTATACAAATACATTTACAAACATCTCATAAAACCATAAATATTGATCGCAAATTAAATTTATTCCATTAATTCTTTTATAGAATACCAGATATTTTTTATTTTTAAATGAATCTTATTGAACTATAACAGAGACTATGGACACATGAACAAATTATTTTTAAAATTATAAATATTCCAGAAGTATTAAGCTAAACAATGCGTCCTGAATAAAACATGTAAAGTTGTCCATTAATGTATTTAGCAAAAATGTTTTTATAATAAACAATTCATTTGTTTAAAATAAACTTTTGTGTTTAAACTTAGAAAAACTAAATATGATTTACAAGTTATATTTAAAGGATAAATAAAATTAAATATTGCCCAATCTATCATATAAAATGTTTACTTAGTTTCTTTAGAATACAAAGTATATTTCTGTATAGTTTCCATGTTTCCAGTCATATTCTGTCCAAAGCCTCTAACATTATAACACTGTTTCCACGTATTACCTAAGACAAAATAATATATTAGAGTTCATTTATACTAACACATAATTATACAACATATTAATTCAAAACTTTTCATAGTATAACTGACCACCATTCCAATATTGTTTTTAGTACCATCTTTACATTCTTCGATACTTTCATCTATCACCATGTTCATGAATGGATCGAAACCACGTAAAATACCAACAACATGCCTTCCACCATTCAACTTCACTATAACAAAACATAGGTATCATTATCAGTGCAAATAATTTATGACATTTTGAGAAAGCAGAAGTACTCCAAAATTTATACTGTTTTCAAGGTTAAAATATGCAAACGCAAATAAACATTTTCCAAATAATTCATACTCACATGACAATCTCTTGTCCATGTACCTGAAACGAAGAAAAAGAAACTTTTAATTTGCAATAACAAAAGACGTAAAGTTAAAATAACGTTCTTTAGGATTAAATGCATAACAAAGAAAACTACTGAAATGCTTACTTTTTAAGTTCTGGAGGATGTGCTTTACTCATGTTTAAATGTTTATTATTCACAAGAAATGTTACTTTACGGAATATTCGTTATACAGTCAAAAACATATATGTATATATATATATATTTATTTATTTTTTTCGGCTTTCAAAACATGCACGCGGTTAGACTGTATTCAACGTGAAGGTGAATCCTAGTAACATAACCATGTAACTCGAGACAAGATTAAAACAGTAAAAACCCTATATTTATCTTTTTTAATTCAAATCCATAGCCATCTACCGAAACTGCACAAATTAAATTTATAAATCTGTGATCAGCGCCATCAGTGGTAAAACGCCCAAGTTTGTCGAAATGTAAAGAATAAATAAGGTTTGCGAAACATTTTTCTTTATTGATTGAAAAGAAGTGTGAATTGATAGACACTGTAGAACGTTAACTTTATTTTCCTTTGTATACTCTAATACATGAAATAAGTGCATCACAATTTAGTTTACATTCGGCTCGAAAACTTAACAGAACATCGTCCAACTCTCTTGGTCGACAAAAGTAACGACCCTACTGTAAAACGTTTATTCATACAACACTGACATTACGCATGTACATATAATTAATCTCATCGTTCAACATATTATGGTCTTGCAAGGTACTGCCAGTACAAAATATAAGTACATTCATATATATAAAAGTACAACGGTTACCTGCCGTCGGAAGACGGAAGGAAATAATGTATCCTTCAAAGCATCGGAGCAAGCAAGGCTTTCGATCGCGCACTTTAAAATTTCAATTCCATCGAAGCGAAACGTGTCGCTTCGAGTAACTAACAAATTTCGTTTTCTCGTTAATAAAACTTGCTCTTCGTTTCGACTAGTTTATCAAACTGAAGATGTCACCGAGTAGCAAGGATCATCGACTTCCCATGATACGAATTTCAAGGAAAACGATGATCCAGGTTACCGAAAAGGTTTCTCGAAAAACTTGCCCGCAAGGAAGATCCTAAAACCAGTTTGGTAAAAGCGTCACATCCTTAATACTATGAATATATCAATACCGCACATAGAGTTAATTTATCGCATTACAGGTAAAGCGTATAACTCAGACTCCTATGTAATTTCTATGTATTGCATGGAGCGAAACAGTGTTATTTAATCGAGATGACGTGAGAGACACAACAGCGTATTTCATACTTTGTTTGAACTGATCAGGTACTCCATACAGGTTCTACCTATGCGTTGAATTATACGCTTTAGCTGCAACTATTGTCGACACGCGAGAAGAATAATAGACTTCCATGGGATGCACCATAGCGACCATTTGAAAATTGGTTAGACATTAGTAGCGTACACTGAACTACAGGGTGTCCCAAAAATGTTGTAACACCTTGAAAGGGGTGGTTCGGGAGGTCATTTGAAGCAACTTTTTCCTTAGCGAAAGTGTTGTCCGAGGCTTCGTTGAAGAGATATTAACGGAAAACACTGACCAATCAGAGCGCGAGTATACTGATAGAGCGGCCGCGGTAGTGTATGAGCGAAGCAGGCTAGCGCGTAGCCTACGCTCCACCGGTATACGCGCGTTCTGATTGGTCTGGGGTTTTCTGTTAATATCTCCTCAACGAAGCCTCGGACAACATTTTCGCTAAGGAAAAAGTTCACCTCCCGAATCACCCCTTTCAAGGTGTTACAACATTTTTGGGACACCCTTACTCCCTCAAGGGCTGTAGCTATTTGATCGTAGCTACAGTACGGGTTTAGCGATGCCGAGGTACCTGAGCTATAGGGAGGCCAGCGGGCCTCAGATATGCAAAGGAATGTTTCGCTAAATTAGTCAACCCTATAAGTCTATTACATTCTCCTCACGCGTTGACTTTATCTTACGGGTAATTCTCAAGGAATGACTTCCGATTATCGTCGACATACACATTGGTAGACATTTCGAGTAGCGTTTGGCAAAGGAATTTTAAGGGGAGCCCGAGTAAAATTTGTGTGTATGTCGCGAAACAAGCAGCAAGGCTTTCCGTCGAGTAAGCGTAAAAACCTCGAAGACATTCTATTACTACGTCTACGCTTACCGACGTCGCTGTCGCGTTAAACTCGCAAAACGTGTAAGATGGAACGGATTTAAAAGCAGTCGTAGGTAAACGTCTCGAGTCACTCGAGTTTACCATTTCTCCGAATACAATAACTGTTCTTATAAAATAACTATATACGTCGTTTGTCGCACCAAAGGCAATAATCGAAAGCGCAAAACGCGGGGGGTGTAATGGTCCGGCGAGTTTTGTTCGAAAATCTTTAACAGTTCTCTAAATTAAAAAATAGAAATGCGAAGAAAGTTGCGAGGAAGGGCACCGCGCGAAGCAGCGTCGCCCACGGCGGAGCCTTTCGCGAAACCCCTTCCCCTTCCATGCGCGACTCATCCCTTCCATGCGCCATGGTCGTGAGAGAGAAAGAGACGCCAGTATGACGTAGTCCCCGGAACAGAGTGAATCGAGAGACCGCGCAGTCGTTATATGTAGTACGCCCACCCTATCGGGACATAGTCGTAACAAGTGCTTGAGCTTCGGAGCCTCGTGTGGACGTGCCTGGTCACAGCCTATGCCGTGTTTTGCAATCACAGCACGACGCATGGAAGAGTTCAAAAGTGCGTAAAGACTATTATCCGTTTACCGAAAAGATGTAGACACCAATCACATAATAGGACTCGCATTAATTCCCTGTGTCGACCAGTGATGGGCAAAACCCTAGGCTTCGAATAAATCTGAAGTTTGCCGACATGTTTGTCTCATTTCCTCTTTTGAACATTTTCCAAGGAAAGAAGCGAGACAAACATATTAGCAAACTTCAGATTTATTCGAAGCCTAGGGTTTTGCCCATCACTGGTGTCAACACGCCGATTTGACGAGGGACGTGTGATACGGTTTGTGCGCGGAGAATCAGTCCTATTCAGATACTGATATGCTATATAGAATTAAAAAATACTTGATTCCATTGCCATCTGATTCGACCCTGTCGCAGTTTAGTTTACTTCGTTCTCATCTTCTCAGTAAACGTATTTGTGGACAGCATTAGTAAAATGCCACATTCCCATGCGAATTCGCCAATAGCGTAAAGTTAGCAGCGGTGTTACAAGGGCTCTTAAGTATCAGCGGCAAGCGTCCGCAATGGATTTTTGACATTCATCGTAGGTACATGGGGAGTACAGTTATATTGCGTGCAAATGCGTACGTTCTATGACGTCTACAGAGTATTTCTTTTTTTTAACGTTTACTTCCTATAATATATTTGCTTTGTCGGCTTGGAGTTCACTAGCTAGTAGTTACCCTAGTGGAATGTACCCTCGAATTTAGTTCAACTGGATCGGATTTAGAAATTATCGTGGATCAAATGTCTTTGAACAAGTTTCGTCGGAAATTGCCAACTTTCTCTTTGAACATCGAACGACTCGCAAGGGAAGCTCGTTAATTTTTAATGATAATAATTTTTCTTCAACTTCCCTGGTTGAAATCGCATACGATAAAACACCACACACAATTACATATATATGTATTCGACTGTGACGGATTTCTCGTGGAAGCACCGTCGATATATCGATAGGGATGAATACGCGAGCATGCGTGTACAGTGCGAGACAAAGCGATAACCCAACCAAGGTTTTCGTTACGTATATCTCTAAATGTAGATAAAAACGTTGGGTGGACTATAATTTCGTCCTACACTGTACTTTCGAAGTCGTAAATAAAAGAATCGCCACGCGCGAAGTTGCAACTGGAAATTTCAATTGCCCGCCTCAGGTGTAACCATCCGTTTATAAATTCGGAGGTAATCGTGGTTAACGTTGTGCAATAAAATTTCAAACTGCTCGAATCGTTGCAAAAAAATTAAATCGAATTATTTTGGCAGCAATCGTAGCAATTCTAACCTCCTAGTTTAAACAACAATTATGGAAAAAGTAAGGTGCCACGGTAATGTCGCATCGAACAATATTCCTCGAAAACGCTATCTATGTATATATCGTAAATCTCTGCTCGTCTTTACGGGAAGAACTCTTCGCGAGAATATAGTGTAGGAACACCGAACACTTAAAAAGTAAAACAGTTATTTATCGCGTACGCGATTGTACCGACAGATACGCGTCGTTACATTAATAATTCCAAATACATTCACAACTTATAATGTTAAGTTATCATTTCCCCACGCTACAGTCGTATCTCCATGACACATTTAACGACACCCAAACGCTCTACGAGAACATTCACGTCTTTAATCCAACATTTAAGAATAACGTCACCAGATGTATCAATTTCCCTTTGACATATGTAGGTATTACGTACACTTATCGATAGGTTGTATTAACACTTTACCGACTGGTAGCCTACTAGTTGAATTTTTACCACGGCAATACTTTGTTGTCTATTACCAGGATAGCATCGTATGCTCTCGTTATTATTAAGATATATATATTATTAGGTGGACTGGAAAGTAATGTCATTTTGGTCATCTTAAATACTTGTTTATCATTTATCAGCTCATTGATATTTCTGGCATTGAAAATTTGCACACTAGGTGACAAGGCTGCTCTGACAATGAGGGCGATTGTATAGTGAATTAAAGATAGAAATTTATTGGAAAGTTTGAATTGAATGTAAAAGAAACGACATTACTTTTATATATACATATACATATATATACATATATATTATGTATATATATATTTTTTTTTTCAGATTAATATATATATATTAATCTGAAAATTATATAATACGAACGTTACAAAAATAAAAGATATCATGAAATTTAATTGCATGTCCAATCGTGGTCGGTAAAGTGTTAACGTAGGTAGTGATCGATTCTCATTGTTCAAAAAGAAACCATAAATGCTAACGCGAATACAATTAGCCTTCTGCAATACAAGAATGTTGTTTAGCCTTTTATAAATGAGCATGCTAAAGCATCCCGACGTTCAAAGTTTAAGTTCCTTAATTATAGTTCTCCTTATAGGAGGAGCAAGTACGCTTTAATTCGTGCCATATTGTATAGGGGGCTCATAAATCTGGTTACATTATTTGAAAAGGTCACACAAGAATTAACGGTCCACGAACATTGTGTCGAATTTCGTGTAAACATACCTAAAGTAAGCAAGACTGCCTTTCGTGTACGCGCGCAAAAAATATTTTGATCGAGGACACGGCTTGTCGGTCGCGACATTCTTCGCCGGTTCGTATAGCGCAAACCTAGCCTAGTTGCTCGACGCGTAAAATAATTCTGCCATAATCCCGATGTTAACGTAACTTTGCGTGACTTTACCATACATCTCGTGACTTGACTTATGCGCAAGTGTATCGCGACGAGTTCAAAGACAGTGCCGTGCGATTCGCATTCGCGTCCGATCGATAGGTTAGAATCGATAAATGCGATTCGTTGCGACGCGATCGAGAAATATCAGTTCACGTAATTCGGTTTGAATGGCGGCTGCGGTATCAAACTGTCGTCTCGCGGAAAATCTTAACCGACGAATCCGCGTGCTTAATGTGTATGTATCTCGTGATGGTTGTTGCGCCGTTGTTGTTATTGTTGCTGCCGTTGTGGTTGTTGTTATTGTTGTTGAGTATCTCACGACTCAAGCCAAACATCGTACCCGATTCAGGCTCCCCGTTCGTCGTGTCTGCGATCAGGAATCATGCATTCACTTACTGTTTTCGAATCTTGGCAGAGCAGATCAAGGTAAGAGAGTATGTCTCTTTGGACACGTATTTAACGTAACAGTGATTCTATTCGCTATAGGTGATAGGGTTCGATTAGGTAAATACAATTTCATGTTGTCGATTCGTTCTGAAGCGTAGAATTTTAACTTCAAATTCGTCGAGTGTCGTGAGGCGAGTGGAGGGAAATAGTACTGAATTCAAAAGAACGAACTGCCATGTTTTTCAATGCTCGGTTTATTCTCGATGAAAATTAGTTTCGCGATTCACTTTAATCTGCTCTGCTGTGTCGAAATGGGTATATAAAAATGTGAAACATTAACAGAGCGCTACGATGCAACGTGCAGAAAACAGTGACGAACGTGTAAAATCGAAAATTGATTAAAAAAATATATATACAGGGTGTTCCAAAAATGTTGTAACACCTTGAAAGAGGTGGTTCGGGAGGTGATTTGAAACAACTTTTTCCTTAGCGATAATATTGTCCGAGGTTTCGTTGAGGAAATATTAACGGAAAACACTGACCAATCAGAGCGCGAGTATGCCGGTGGAGCGTAGGCTACGCGCTAGCCGGCTTCGCTCATACGCTACCACGACCGCTCCACCGGCATACTCGCGCTCTGATTGGTCGGGGTTTTCCGTTAATATCTCCTCAACGAAGCCTCGGACAACATTTTTGCTAAGGAAAAAGTTGCTTCAAATCACCTCCTGAACCACCTCTTTCAAGCTGTTTCAACATTTTTAGGACACCCTGTATATGTATACATATATATGCGAAGCAAAAATGAACGCCATATTCGCGCATAAAAGTTTTTCTCGATGATATTTACGAACCGTGAGAATATGTCACAAAGGGCATAAATGAAAAAAAGCAACTGTCGGTTGTATTAAAAATAAATTTATATTTACAAACGAGACAAATATTTGCTAGCGTCTTAAGGGTCGTAAGTGTAGTAGGATAAAAAAAAAAAAAGTTGATATATAATTAATCGATTGTTCGAATCTGCGGTGTTTATTGCGCTTAGATTCAAAGATCTCAAATCGGTCCGGCAGAATAAAAATTACAAATTATAGTTTGCTAAGTACCTATATAAATATATAACTTTCTCGAGCACTTTATTCAACGAAGGGAACAATTTAACGTTGCTATTATTGCGACGCTATCTCTTGTACTGCGTGTGGTTAACTTTTTTTGGCAAGACTCAAAGAAATACGTTCATCGATATGTAAACTACCTTACGTTTAACGGTATTGACTACGATTTGACGAAAACACCCCGAAACAGAAACTCGAATCAACTCTCGAGCCTTTCGTCGGGACACTACGAGTTAATATCGTTCTTAACATTTAAGTAACAATTTTTTTTTTTTAACGTGATCGAATACTTAGGAAAGCTTCTGAACAAGCATCGGTAACTCGGCAATAACATAGAAGAAAAATAACGTGGCATTAACTCTTTCTGTAAATAAAGATAATATCTTCTTATTGCTATATAATAACGACACTATACTTTGGCAGTCGAGTCCACGTATCCGGACTACATGTGCATTATACTAACATGCTATGGTAGACACAGTTGGCAAGGATATACGATGCATACAGAGACACAGGTTTTTGTACACAGTTTCGATTAAACAAAACAAAACAAAAAAAAAAAAACATCGATGTGATATTTGTATGAGAATTGAGAAATCACGGTTAATCGTCGGATCGTTGATGACTGTTGCGATGAAGGATTGCGAGGCAACAACTTTGTCGAGCATGTAACCCTTGGTGCATAAATGAGACAATTGGTCGGTACGTGTTCGGTAACATAACGATACTATTCCATACACATTAATACATCGTACGTATTGTTCGATATTATACATCGACACAGTCATTTGGATACTCTGATTCGTACATAACGACATAACACTATACAACAATAATATACTGTTTATTTCATTTAATATCTACAGTTAAAGCGTGTACCGCGAGAAATGCAAACACAATTCGGTTCTGTTTCGCGTCCTATTTAAACAATTAAACGAGTCGAGGTGTGCATATATTTATTTACTTACTAGCGGAAGTGCGCACATTTTTCAACGAGTACATACATCAACCAAGCTCACGCTTTAACTGTGGATATACGTAATTCGTATCACCAAGTATTTCCTAACGAAAGTGCATACTGTACGAAGACGAGTATCATGCACATGCAGAAGACACTTTAAAAATAAAAACGTCTTGCGGCATGCACGTACAATATGAAAATCCGTAGTATTCAACAGAGCGTAAGCGGGATATTTTAATAGTCTCTAAAGGAGTTCCGCTCTAATCTAGCTTATTTATTAAGAATCTATCGTAACAAGCGTCATTACGTTAAAATCGTAAAAAAGACGATCCCGTCAAATTCTTCAATGACAGTTTCGCGTATCTGGACGATTGTTCGGTATAAAAAAAAAAAGAAGAAGAAAAAAAAATACATGACGAGTGTCTTCGTATTAAGTTCTTCCCTAACAAATAAATTATGTTTTCGATTCTCCAACGTGATAGTTGGATATAAAAAAAGAAAGTTGATATGAAAACCATCGAGACGAAAGTTACGTGTAAGTAGACGCGAGAAGAATGACTATGACGTTATAAAATAAATAAGGAACATAATGTAGTGCGAAACAAAAGTCGAAGTGTCTCTTCACAATACAATGCAACAACACTTTTGGCATCTACTCTTCTTCCCAACGATATTGTGTTTACACCTTTCCGTGACTTTACACGCTTTCAATTTCAATTTAACGCTCTCAGTGTAATCCCCGGTATCTTGACTTTGCACGGAATTGCTTCTCGTAGTTTCTCTCAAAGCCAGAATTTCATTATTGCCTTCGCATCCCGAAATTTCTACTTCGTTGCATACGTCTATTTTATTGGAATTCGTTTGCTCCTCTTTCATACTATCCGCCTCCGTTTCGGAGGGTTCAGTCTCCTGTAATGTTGGAGACGACTGGAATCTTAAAGTTTGTCCCTTGGGACAGTGAATGACATACTGATCCCTCCTGTCGTTATGTTTCACGTTCTGCGCGGTATCTATAATTTCATTTAAATGTTGTTCTTTGACATCGCACATTTTGCTATCATCCGTTTTGCTTCCCATTTGAAAAAGATTTGTACTAACAATCATCGTGCAAGTATCTTGATTCGTTAGAAGCTCGCCTATGTCCTGCAGATACATATCCGCTTTGATACCTGCTTTCTTCGAATTCAGTCTGTTACTCTCATCGTCTATTTTGTCGCAAAGTTCGTCTGATTTTTCTGAACTGAACGCCTCGCCGCTTAGACTCTTCGTTCGGCCATCCGAGTATGTGCTCAGCTTATTGTCCGAGTAGTTGCTGTACTTGTCGTCGTGCAAGTACACGGAACTTTCGTTTGACTCGAAATTACTCGCATTTATAATCGATATCCTTGGTATAATCAAGTCGGGCGGTAAGCCTTCGACGCCATCCAACGGAGTTGACTTCAAGGACGATCTATTAATAAAATCACCAAAGGAATGATACCCTTGCTGCCCTTTACCCTGAATCCATGCTTGAGTAAGGAGATGCGATCTCTGCCACGAAACATCGCTGTTGCATCTGTCTGTTCGTACGGTCCATCGTTGTTCATCGGTATTAGGCCAGGATCGCAAACAGCAATCGCTTGGGCTTCGTTTGATATCGGTCACGTCTTGGTCCGTGTCCGTTGCCTCCTGTTTTTTACTTCGTACGATCAGTTCTAGCTTTGATTTCAACAAGGCTGGCGATACAGCTCTGTCGACGCGCCTGACTATGCTCGACGCGTGTGCGGATGACAACGTAGCGTTGTCGTCGCATTCGTTTATGTTACCTAGATCTACGTCTGGAACCTCGCTAGAGGCTACTATTATAGCATTTGGACTCGGGCTGTCCATGCTATCAGGAGTGTAGGGATCATGCTTAATGGGTGCTGCGTGCAACAGATTAGTCGAACGATCGGTGTAATTGATCCGTCGGCTAACGTAACTACTATAATCAGGCAACATGGACAATAACTCCACGTAATTCTCTGGCACTCGAAAGCAAAACTCAGGTGCACGTGACAAGTTGCAGCAGTTTATCATACCTTCGTCCGAGGCGAGATTAACCCTCAAGTAGACTGGCTGCAAACGGGAAAAAATGGACGATCCTTATGTATTATCGTGCATCGCTATGAAGAAATGGAGGGACATTCCTCATATGGTAGGACTCTATAAAAAGTCTAACTAATATTAATGTAAGTCAGGACAATGATACAAAAACGAAATACTTTTGGTACAGTAATATGGTAACATGATACTCGACGTTTGTAACATACTAAATACTCTTGAATTTAGTAGATGATCTATCGGGATTGTAACGTTAAATATACTTCGATGAGTACTAGATCTTTTTTTTTTTTTTTTAACTTTGTTGTAATTGTTATCAAAGGACTATGGTACTGTAAGGTTTTTAGTTTGAACATTATGAGTCGTATGGAAAATGTATCGAACAAGCGATTAAAGTGCATACCTGGGACGATTAAATAAAATATATTCGCTTAATTCGATGATAAAAATAGCGGAATGTTAATTAGAATCGTGATGTTCGAAATCATTAAAGACGTGAATTTATAAGTGAGCTACACTGAACCAACTACACCGAACAAGCCCCTATGTACTTATAAACAAGATAGTGGAGTACTAGCAGAAATATAGGATATAGGGGTAAAACCAAGATAAGAACAGGCAGACAGTTCATAGATAGGTACCTTAGTGCTTAAAGATTCATTCGAAACTCCAGAAAAACAGGCTGCACCATAATAATTAAAAGAATGAATCATCAGAATAAGAACTAGGAAGTGTGTAAGTATATGTACCCAGTATAATAAGTAGAAACGAGCCAGTACCTCTTTCGAAAGTTAGAAAATAAACGTGTCTCACCTTATGGTCACCCATGCAGGTTGTCGGACCTATTATCCCATATTCCACGGCATCCGATGATGATGTCTGATTAAAAAGAAAATAATATCGTATTATACGAAAGTCTTGTTTGAAGAACGTACGTTAGAAGTTTAACAAACATATTCCATACATCTTGGACTAGCATTTTCGCTGTAGAGCTCAGTAGAACTCGGTCGCACCAAGCTGGAACTCTTGTCTGCATATAATTTGAACCTTCATTGACATCTTCCTCAAACGGGTAACTGGGTACAAATTCAATGGGAAATTCAAATAGTCTTCCATCAAAGTCTTCCAGCTCTTTGTCATATTCACGTAGCTACATAAATATCGGTAATTTCATTATGGTCTTCCTAATTGTTAATGCAACATTATAAGTAACATTATACAACGTAATGTTCGAACAATTATTTACTTACCCACTGTCCGCTATTTTTCATAAAAACGTTTTGATGTTCGAAATGAGAAAATTCTTTCTTTCCTAATGTTAGTATGAGATCATCGTCTTTATTGTGAAATTGCAGTTTCGAAACATTTCCTTTATTCGATAATGTTCTTTCTTGAGTATCTTCTGTAAGTTTCTATGCAAAAACAGAGCAGAAGTTTTGTGTTTTATCGGGCTTTCGTAGGGACAAAGAATAGGATGGAATATTAGCTCTCGCTTACTTTAATTACGCTAGCCGTGTCTGTTCTAAAATTAAAGTCTCCGAATAAAAAGTATGGTACATTTGGATATTTATCGTTATGAAACCTATCTAATGTATGCTCGAGCGCTCTCCTGCGCGTTTTACTGTATACAGATGGGAACTGAAAATAAATTATCACATAAATAAATTAGTTACAAAGCTATTCATAGAGTGGTTATATCGCTTACCGTTTCCATAGCGATGAAGTTACTGGCATCATGAAATAAGTGTATGTTTATGAGATCAAAAACTGTTCCACTAATACTCCATCGTGTTCTCAGAAATCCTTTTCTAGACCATTTACATTCTGGAAAAAATTCCTGAGGAAACTTTGCTTTTTCTTTGGTTGCAACTGCTTCTATGTTACCAGAATGAACCTCTTTTCCACTTACTGGTACAAAAGTACATTCTACAATTGTAACAACAATTAAGCATATACTGTTTTCAAAAATATGAATATATTTTGCAAAGCAGGGGAAACATCGTACCTTGGAAGTCCCATAACAAAACTTCTTTCAAAGATTCGTGTACGAAGTAAAAGTTTCCAAGTGCCTGTAACAATTCACATAGATAGAATTATGTGCTGTTATAAATTGTAAAATGTATCATATTTTTTACTTTACATACCGTAAAATGTTCAGCAGACGAATAGTCCTCGTCTAAAAATACTCTGATTTTATCAAACAGCCTTAACTCTTCTGACGACATAAGTAACCTGCAGAAGATAATTTTATTAGATTAAATTAAACTTTGCAGAAACAATGGAGATTTAAAACTTTTCATAATAGCTAGAAGAATCAATATATTTTCAGGCTTTTCTTTTACATTGCTCCCCTATCAATATCATTCGATAAACCCATCTTTTGAAGTGGCTCACTCAACCATAGAACCACGCATGATCATCTATTTTTATCCCTTTCTGTCGCTTATGCGTTAAATCACATTCAATATAGTAACCAAGGAAACCTATTTGTCTTAGTATAGTTTTAAAACAGCTTACGTATAAACTCTACAAGATATTATGTCAAACAGTTTGGTGAAAAATTTAATAGAATATTTAATATTACTTAAAAATTATACAATTTTCATTTAAAAGTTACTAGAGGATTAAGAATTAGTTTTTATTCCATTAATTTAGTTAGGCTTAAATAGGTCTGTCCATGGAAACCTTTCAAGAAGCTTCGCTTTAACAAGATTTCCTAGAGATTCTCTTTCATCCGTAACACAATATAATTATTATCGGTCGTGCAATACTAACATCATTAAAGATAAGAATACATTCAGTCAATAAAATACAATAAAATAACGTATTACCTAACAAAGTCTTCGACATGCCTCATACTTTCTTCATAATTTTTTCCACCTACTTCTTGGCAGTGCAGTGCAATAAACTTTGGATCCAGCCTCAATATAGTCTGTGGAAAGTATACCACGTGAATGTAAATACGCGTTATATTTACGCAATGACAATGCATCATATCTGTGATACTTACAGATAAAAATTCTTCCGTCCAAATTTTCAACATAACGCTAGGCTGCAAAAAAATAGAACCATTTTTAAAACTTTGACATTATTAGAGATAAGCAATTATTAAACGAACGTTACGTCTGTTTCGTTGTTGAAAAAAATTTAATAATAACAGAATATTGAAAAATTCGAAAACATTTTAGCTTATGGTTGCTACTTCATTGTTCTTTTCACGTACAAATAATAGGACCCGTTACGGGTAAAAATCGCATAGATCGTCGATCGTAAGCCATCAACGTATCAATCGGCTCAAGGGGAAGGTGTAATTCGGCCCTATGTAAATTTACGCGACCGATAACAAACATGCAATCGTAGGAAGTCGTTGGTAGACGTAACACACGGTTCTGCATGCGTGTAGTACACTCCAAGACAAAATGATTGGATACCCCTATAGTATTTGCATTTGGCAGCTATAACAAGGCATGAAAATAACATTGTTTAGGAAGAATAGGAGACATTGTATCCAGTAAGGAATAACTAATTTTGTGTGAATATTATCTTAGAAAAATTGTCAATGTATATATACTATAGAGCAAGAGTTGAAACATGACAGGACAATAGGACACGTACAAGTAACAGTAATGATATTATCATTTTTTTTTTTTATGAGATTGTATTCTAATCTTCAATCTCTGCTTTTAGTTTGTCTGTGTAGAATAGAATAGAATTCATGTTGAATATTGAATGAATATTGAAGCTAACTGTCTCTGTGTATGTTCTATAATGTTTAGTTGCATACTTGTGTCTCATTTTAACATCCCTAAACTGATATTCAAAGAACAATGACTGTATTTGTGATTCACAATATTTATTACAGTAAAATAATTGAGTGAGATGTCAATCAATCTTGATCTTCCAACTGTTGCTCGGTAACTGCTTCAAGTATTACTGCTGTCCTATCATTTTTACACTTGTTTTTCATATAAACAAATCAAATTCCTGGAAAATACTCTACACAGATACAAACTTTGACACATGTTACCAAGATACACTTTTGTATAGCAAAGATGGACACAATTTTATTCAAATAATATACAACGAATAGGAGTACATTTCAGTGATCCATTTACAATGTTCATTCAATGAAATAGTGATACAGATAAGTGTCTATTACTTCATCCTGAAATATAAATTCATTCCATAATATAAATTCTAATTCTCATTAACACATTGAATGCCAGACAAATATTCTTATTAATAGTTTCTGCTAAAATGAAATATCATTTAAACTACTGGAGACTGTATAATCAAACATTAATCGTCGTATTTATTTTTGTAACTTCATAAAAATTCATGAATTTCGTTTAATTTCATTCCCTTTGATGGTTGATTTTCAGAATTAATTTTTTTTCAGTTCTTCAGTGAAAAGCACTGTCACCCGTATATGGGTGACATGGCGATCAACGTGTTAAACAAACAACTGATGAAAACTTGATCTACTTCTGATATACAAGGTTACACAAAAATTGTGTAGCAATAGTTTCCGAAAATCCGAAAAAATCCAAGGGTGTTTTCTGTCGTTTTGTCGTGGAGTGTATTTGAATTATAAACGCACGTCGCGTGCAACAGTGCCACGAGGATGTACGGTTCCCGACGTCGAGGAAAACAAGGATACAAAAAGAAAAATCGTTGGAACGAAGACGAAAGATGCCAAGGCAGGACACAAGCATGGCCAGCGCGTATCGCGACGATAGCATCGTACGAAAGACGCGCCAAACAAACGGCGAGGCTGAAAAAGAAGGAAGAAACGGGGAGAAAGGAAGAAAGAAGTAGGTCGTGTCACGTACGAACGTGTAAATCGCGACGCGCGATCGATCGCTCAGGGTCGTGCGACTGGTGTAAACGAAAACAGAAAAAGTCTGTCGTTGTGTAAGTAATGGGTACGTACCTCCTCGAAAATACTGCCAACGTTCGCGGTGACCAGTAGAACCGGAACGCCGTTACCCGCCATTCTTTCGGATGCGTCTCGGGTAGGTAAACTTCTTTGAAAGAGCGTTCAAGAGGAGGACGACAGGTGTATCGTGTCCCACGACGACGTAAAAGAGTCACGGATCGACGTGCGAAAGCCTGTCACGAGCACACCGTGTCACTGGCAACCGTGTCGAGTGCTTGCTGCGAGCAAGCACTGTGTTCACTCAGGGGGAATTAGTTTTCCGTGGATAGACGAGCACTTGTGTACGACGTTCCAGGAGAAAAAAAAGTCACCCCCGGGCCAGGAAACGTCCGTGAGTCCGGAGGGAGGAATCAACCCCTGTGCCGTGGTGTGGGCACGGTTCGTCGGCGTGTACCGGTCGCATCAAACCTCGCACTGCGAATACGACACATTATTAATCGAATAACGCGAAGCCCTGTTCGCCGCGCACCAGAGAGAAAAGTTGTGTGGTGCGGTAAATATAATCCCTCTATCGGACAGAGCGAAACCACGCCTACCTACTGCAGACGTCAATAGGCAGTGCCGTGCACGTCGGAAACCGTAAACGCCAGAGAGAGGAGATACCGGGCCCCTGACCGCTAACCGCCAACGCGTTTCGACCTCTACCACTTCGTTCGACGAATTCCCATGGGGGTTTACCGCAGACCGACTCCGTGGAAACCACGTTTTTTCCCTCTTGTTATCTCCACTTTCACGAAAATTGTCGGTCACCCTCGTTCCACGTAGCTTAGATCTCAGCTTCGATTTCTGATTAGGGCGACCACTAGCGATGGGACTGATACGATCAGGTGTCGATGGTACTCGACCAACTCGATTACCAAAGTGCTTAACCCATTGGCTTACTTCCAGAGTCATGCGCGATTCTGGAAGCGTTTGTTGTTTCCACGGTTGAGACGCAGCTGTAACGTGTTCCTCTTAGTTCTTGTGTCGTGGCATTCATGCGAAATGGTATTAGGTGTGTAGAAATTTATTCTATGGCTTTACGTTCGATCATTTATTATTTATTTATTTATTTATTTCAATATATACGGGCATAGCCCATTATGGAATTAATACAGTGTAGCAATTATAAACAACGATAATTGACAGTTTATTTTTTCTTTTGCAACTCGTGTTTACTCGTCATTTTGTTACGTTCAAGTACCCATTTTCTAAATTCTCGACCCGAAGAACATTAAAATTTATGTTTGTTGAGACTTAGCTATAATTGAATATTAACAAAATTAATTTCTACACCTAACACATATCATTGGAAAGCTGAAGAATCTTTCCATCGCTAGCCATCCCTTTTTAGATTTGAAACTTTGCATCGACGTTTTTGAAGTAGTAATATATTATAAGTAGACTGCGGATCTTTATGCAAAATAAAATCTTCGCGAACATGCCTAGAAAAATTGAACCTACATAGGAATTTATTTTATTTTGCAACTATTATAACATGACGTTTACTTTCAATTATTTTTATATTCTTGCATATTGTTCGCATTTTGTAGTTTCTTGTACATTCAAATGTCCTATAAATGCATAAAGACCCGCAGTCTAATTATTAATTAAGCTTGAATTCGAAAGTTAGTTTTACGAACACCCATAGATGTCCTACATGGTCGTGCATAGAAATTCCTCTGCTCGTTAGACGCGAAGAGCTCTGTTGTTTCTTGTGCTTTAGGCGCGAGTTCGTTCGCGATAGTCTGCTAAACAGGATTTCGCTTAATCGATAACTTTGCGGTTTACGGTGGGTCCGTCACTCGTCGAAATACGTAGCCTAGTTATCGGGAATTACTAAACGCGTTACGATAATAAACAGGACGGAAGTTTCGTTCAGATAAGGGTACATGCGCGCGAGCAACTCTCGATGCTGTACGTACATGCACTAGTGTTTGGCAAAATGTAATCCATGATTACGATTACTAAATAAGTGTCTGTAAGTAACGAGTAGCGATTAATTAATAATCAAGCACAATTAGTACTGAAAGGTTACGAGCTATTGATTTACGATCGAGGAATACAAACGTCGTTTACAATTAGTGAGACACCTTTGAACGACGTTCAGCTCTTTCAAATAAGGGACTCGAACTTTTTATCTAGATAAGCGGCGGCGAATGTTCTGTCCGATATCGCGTATCTTTGGAAGATAAGACTAAAAATAGTAGTACAATTAGGTTGGTATGTGTGAAATCTTGTTTCCGAATTTTGTGACAAAATATTTTCAGTATGGAAATTCGAAACGCCTCAGGCTCGCCATGCCAGGAATAGTTCAATACGGTCCTGAAGACTGTTGTCGGAAACGATGTTCCAGCCGCGCATGAGAAGGGCGAAACGCACGCGCTTTTATGCTCCGTTTACGCTCGCATCTTTTTTATTCTTTCCTTCCTTTTTTAATTCTTTTTTTTTTTTGCAACCACGAATCTACATAGTAACATGGATGAGACGAGCGGTGGATGGTTTAATGGATGACGAACAAAACCTCTGTAGAGTGATTTATTCGGCTAACGATCAAATTTTAATTTTTATTAAAGAAATTAAGAATCAGTCGGTGCGCGAATGCATAGATCGCATTTATTACTTTTTATTTAAAGTTTGAACAAATGTTTTCCCTCCTCACTATTCAAAACGAATAGCGAAAATTTGTTTTAGCTTTAGAATATTAAAATGCAATCTCCAACAAGCAGCAAACGTTCTCGCAAGCGGCCATCTGGTGGGGAAAATACGAAATGGACAATTATGCCTTCTCCCGATCAGACCTAGGGCTAGTTCATTTCTTATTTATTACACAAAATGTTTCATCTAGATAAGAATTTTACCAAATCTCCCTCTAGCCAATTATCTTTCGATCTTTCGCGAAGTTAGGGTAAACGGATCGTGGATCGCTCGGTAGCGCTGCAGTTTGGTTTTCGTTCCGGCGTGTACTTGCGTGCAACCTACTGACGGAGTGCGCCGTTGTCTGCTGTCGTCTTCCAAAGTGTATCGCCACATCCAGTTCGCGTTTCGTAAGCCTACGCATACCATGACCGTGTTGTTATTGTGCTTTTCGATTCGTTTTCCTGCGTGAAAGAACAGTCATGCACACGGCGTTGCATCGCCATATTCATTGTACAAGGATCGAGCCACGAAACGGCGCATCTATTTTCATCGAGCGAACTGTCTCGTCCCAGTAGAATATCTTACGCTCTATACATATATATTTTACATTTCTCTTTTGCATATTATTACTCTCTGTTTCTGCCGGTACCTCTTTTTCGAGATATAAAATGTTTTGCATTACAATTGCCTGGAAAAAGCTGATAAGTATCAATTGACTTGTTCGTCTCTGGCGATCATCGATAACTAAACTTATCAGACCGACAATGTCAGTGGACATTGTTCGAGTAAAAATATGTTTTCGATGACCAGAGAATTGGGCTTGCATTGTTTTCGTATATCCATCGTTTGCTACTTCTTTGGTCTTGACGCAAACGTTATTTCATACACCCAGAGTACTTGGCAATAGGTGACTGAAACTTTAAAGGGTTATCCTTCCCATCAAAATAAGACGAAAATCAAGAATAATAAAATTGCGTTCAAGGCTTTGTATCTATGGAACTAGTTGCCAAAGCGT